ATGATCACTGCAGATGGTGACAGCAGCCACGAGATTAAAAGATGCCTGCTTCTTGGGAGGAAAGTGATGACAATCCTCAACAGCATCTTAAAAAGCGGAGACATCATCTTGCCGACAAAGGTCCGCTTAGTCAAAGATATGGTTTTTCCAGTAGCAATGTATGGAAGTTAAAGCTGGACCATAAAGAAGGCTGACAGCCGAAGAATTGATGCTCTTGAATTGTGGTGCTGGAGGTGGCTCTTGAGAATCCCCTGGACTGCAAGGAGAACCAACCTATCTATTCTAAAGGAAATCAACCCTGAGTGCACACTGGAAGGACAGATCCTGAAGCTGAGGCTCCAGTGCTTTAGCCATCTCTTGAGAAGAGAAGTCTCCCTAGAAAAGACCCTGATGTTAGTAAAGTGTGAAGGCAAGAAGAGAAGGGGACAACAGAGGATGAGATGGTTGGACAGTGTCATCGAAGCTACCAACATGAATTTGACCCAACTCCAGGAGGCAGTGGAAGATAGGAGGGCCTGGCGTGCTCTGGTCCATGGGGTCACGAAGAGTCAGACACGACTAAACAACTAAACAACAACTGATGTAAAGCTTATATCCTTGGCTAGCCTCTATGAAAAGCTGATGGGGGAGTTCACTCTGTAACTTTAAACTATTAGCCATCACCTCTCCCATCTTTACTCATCCATGATGAATGGAGCTCCTGCTTTCCAAGTTATGAGAGGAATTCTGTTGAAGGTCTGTTTCTTCTTTGGATCTTGGAAGTACAGTATACAATGGAAAAAGCCAAAAATAGTCCAAATTTAGGGCTTGCTCTCCCCACCTTAACTAATAAAGCATGAGCAAAGTAAATATTAAAACAAAACAAAAAAAAAACCATGCTGGAACGCAAAAGTCTCCACCTTGTACTAAAAAGCATTAAACCTGGAATCAGACAAGCTTTAACGCGAATGTTTCACACATAGGGTTTTACAGCTGATCTCATGTCTTTCTGCTCACCTCAGTATACTTGGTCCTTGACAGCATATAATCACAACCATCCTCCTCCTCCTTCCTCCAGGTGCATTAGTGCAATTCACAGAGCTATCTAATTTTAGCCCCACATTTTATAAAGTATGGTGGGATGGAGCTTAATATTTTAATTCAAGTCTTCTTCACAGCTGACTAGGAATCTGGATGTAAACTTCCCATATCCAGCTACCTGTATAGTTTTACGCATAGATGGCCATGCTAGCAGCCCTCATTTACATCAGTTTACATTTAACAAAGCACAAATGGATATTATTTTGATCTAAGCAGCCTTTTAAAACATGCAGTGACAGAAATCATATTACATAACTGTAACGTTGATAGTGAAGATATTAAAACTGATGGTTTTGTATACCTTGATTGAATCAAATGGAAACTGCAGAAAACGAATAAGACTTGAAAGGATCGTGATGAAGGAACTAAAAAAGATAATTAAGTAACAAGGATGTATTAGTGCATACAGAGGCCAAGATTGTAATCCCAGCTACTATCCATGGATATGAAGCCAGACAGTGAAAAAATCTGACAGGAAAAGAATCATCTGCAATCAACCTACTGAAGCATCATTGTACAGTATTATTAATGGGTATTAATACAGGCAGGCCTTACTGTGGCAAGAACTTACTGTGAGAGCCGTTATTATTCAGTACAGTATTTCTGTTGAATTTCTTCCCACAATATTGTGTTATATTTATTTATTTACTTTCTTTTATTGTTCTTTCAACGCTCCCCTGCCTCTCCGGTTATACGAGTTTTAAAACATTACAACAGGAACCCAACGTGAGTTTGTTGCTATCGCTCGTATTCGTAAATCCACGAAGGTCGTGACCATTCGGGAGGAATTGTAGCTAAAAGCACGTTTGCCAACAAGATGACTGGAACATGTTTTTAAAGCAAGCAATGCCCTAAATAAACTGCAGGAAAATAGGGCTCCCATCGTCTAAATCTTATACCCAAATAAATGTTGGTTCTCAAGGGACCACAAGAGCCCGTGTTCTTTTTTTCCCCCTGCAGTTACCAGCCTTGCACGGAAGGAACACGTGGATTTTTAACCCCCGTTCCTTCTTTTGCAGCCAACCTTCCACACGACATTAGGTAACCTAGGAGTGACCTTCTCCTCACAAGCCCGCCCGACCTAAACCGCCCCGCCTGTTCGAAAGCAGCCCTCGGCAAAACCGTCCCGGGCTCCGAGCAACCGCTCGCTTCCTCTTTCTTCCTTATTCAACGCACTCACCCCGGGCCGCCGCTTCGCCGATCCCGCTTCCGCCCTTTTCCGCCTGCCTTCCTTCCCGCCCCTCCTTTGCCGTAACGTGATTCAAGCTCCGCCTGACAAGGCCGCCTCGCCCCAGGTGGGCCTCGCTCGCCCTCTGGCGTTGGCTTTGGGGCGCTGCAGCGCAGGAACGGGTTTTTCATTACTGCATTTCAGTACCTGTTCGGCTTTGTCGCAGCCAGCCAGCCGTCCCTTCAATGGGGGCCCGCGGGGAACGGGGCAAGAAGACGCTTGCAAGCTTCGCAAAGTGGAGTTAAATCGTTGTTCATAAGAGGGAGACGAAATGGAAGTCAGAGAGAGGGGGGGGGAGCCTTCTCTGTGGCGTCTCCCAGACTTTTGAACTCCCTGCCCCAGGAGACCAGCCTGGCCCCAGCCTTGCTCTCCTTCCCAAACAGGCAAAGACCTTTCTCTTCAGGCAAGCTTTCCCTCCCTGACCTGGCTGCGTGAGTGGTTGTATCTTAAATGGGTTTTGATATTGCTTCTGTTTACCATCTTCCAATGTGGTGTTTGCTTGAACCTGTTAAAGGTTAGCTTTAAAAACGTTGTCTTTTAATTGATGTAAGCCACCTTGGACCCTTTTTAAGGAGAAAGATGGGGTAAAAATATTTTAAATAAATAAATAAATTTGTACATGACCCCATGATACTGAAGGGCAAAATGACCATGGTTGGCTAGTATAATAAGACACGTTTGCAGAGAAACACTCATCACTGTCTGGAGCCTGAAATACTCTTGTGGTGGAGACTCACTGGGTTTTGTGTCATCCAGTTCCCCAGCCAAATAAGAACTTTGCAGTTTGAAAAGGCAGCAATCTCTCTCTCTGTGTGTGTGTTGGGAATATGCAACCTACCTGTGATTCTTTGGTTGTGGAGCTGGGGTGATTTCCAACTGATATCTGGCGTGTAGCTTGAAAACCATCCCTCCAGTGTAGCCTGCACTTTTTCTAACTCCTAAGAAGCAAAACCTTCATCTTGATTTAGTCCCTTGGAGGTACACTAGAACTTGCTTATGTACCAATTTCTGCTGTTTCCCTCTGATGTCTCCTTCTGTAACCCCCCCCCCTTAAAAGCCACTCCATAACATATTTTCCTAGGAAGTTGAAGTATTCTAAAACTAGTTCTCTGTGCTGAATCTGAATTTCATCTCCTGTATAATACCAGTATCCTCTTGGATATTTCCGCAGGTGCACTAGGGTTGCAAAATTTTGTGAGGTCCATGTTCTGTACTTGCTTATGCAGTTGGGTAGCCACGTGCCATTTGAAATTTATGAATGACAAATTTTGTAATTCTCCATTCTGTTGGTGCCACCTGGTAGACAGACTCCTAAATGTTACCGCCATGGCCGCTTCCTTTCTCAACAAGACGCCTGAGCAAAGCTAGGCCATAAAGCCTTCAAACACTGGTCTTTCTCCCAGGTGAGCCACATTTAAGTATCTGTAGGTATGAACTCCCAGGATAGAAAAGTATGGGCTTCATAGTCCAGGCCGTGTGGGAGGAATTAGAAGATTCCTTTCCTTCCTCCATGTTTTGGGGGTCATTGTGGATCTCTTTTGTTCTGGGGAAGCTTTGGGAGCCACAGAACGGGGGACAGAACTCAACACCTGGAAATTGTTGCCACCACCTCCCCAGAAGCTTTTAATTCCACCCAAACAGCCATAGCAGATGGCATCACAACTGCGCAGTATAAAGTTGTGTGTTAGGATTCCAACATGTCATTTTGTTCCATCATCCCTAAAATCACTCTTCTGTGGATTTCCTTGCATTTCAGGTTTTCATAAAAGTTGCTGCAATTTAAACAAACAGATCCACAACTGATGTGTAGTGTGCCAGTTTGCTGCTATCATCTGCAGTGCCTGAGGAAGCCAAGGTGGTTTTTGCTGCCATATACCCGCACCTTTCCTGTGGTTTCTTGTGGGAAAGGCACAATTTACATAATATGGAGATTTTTAAAATTAGATATTCAAATTTAAAAGTGAAACAGCATAGCACAGCCTGCCCTATCACCTGTTCACACTTCCATTTTGTGCGTTCTCCTGAACCTGTGGTAACTATTAACTGTTGCACTTACCAACAGGGAAAGGAAGATGTGAGACACCACAGCCTACATCAGCATCCCTAGACTCAAATATCACAACAGATATTTACATAACTTCAGGAGGAATGTGTGTCTTGATATGCTTCCATTGACTCTCCCTTCTTTTGTTATGGTATCTAGTAGCTTTTTAGGCTTAGTTTTGAACAACACCGGGATAGCTCTAGAAACACTGTACTAACAGCTATAATCTTGCATGTGCTTCTAGGAATATCTAGGAATAGGCTTCAAATAAAATATTTCAGATGATGTACTATTATAAAATACTATACAGTTTCTTTTTCAGAAATCTAAACTATGGAACAAGGTTTCAACCCAAAAGACTTTGCTCCATTCTTCCCTATGCTGCTACAGCTTCCCTCTGTGTTACTTAATTCAGGATTAAACGGAAAATGCAACATGTCTGCAAGAGTTGAAATGCTATACAAAATATTTGATGCACTATAATCTTTGTATAACATTCAGGAAAATGTTTTTCAGTGTTCACATTTAGATCCCTGAGTTTTAAAAAAACTCCTGCATGTTATGCAAGCAAGTTTCCTGTATTAAGCCTGGAATGTCACTACAGAACAGATAGGCAAGACGTAGATGTGTATGTTCTGGTAAATACTTGATCAGCAATAATTTCTGAGTCCCACAATATTACACAATAGCAACAAAATTGGCCTTCCCCAATTATATTGCAGAAATCTGTAAAACTAGAATAAGCATAAGTGAGTTTTTGTGCCTGAATGTAAGCTCCATTCACTTCCGATACTCAAAATAAATTACTGGGACTCAAAAATCTTTAATTTTTTACTCAAATCTTAAATTTTTTACTCAAATGTTTTTAATTCTTTTGCACCAGGCTCAGGTTGGTGGATCTCAGGGTCATACTTTTTAAAATACATCCTGAAAACCTTAAGGTTCCCTATCCTTTCAAAAGAACACTATGGTCACATGTATTTTTCAGGCAAAAATCCATAGGTCAGTGTCTAACATACCTTGAACACTGTGGGATAGAATCAAACACTGGCAGTGTCGAAGGAAACTTATTGTAGGCTAGCAGAATGCTGTTGCAGTATGAGAATACTAAGCAAGAATATCAATATGCTGAATTTTGAGAAAAGCAAGCTCATAGCTTGTAAAAACAAACAAATTGAGCAGGCCTAGCCTTAATATTTATAAACCGTACTGTGGACTTGGTTGGTAAGTATACAGTACAAGAATGTCATGAACAAAATAATGCTGCCTTCAAAATTACACACTAAACTGATAACTCTTGGAAACACAGGAACATCAGACTGAAAATAGCCCTCCCATATTGATATCAGTTCATATTTATACCTTTCTTTTAGTTTTTTTTACATAGCACTGCATTCCATGCTGAGTAGGTTCCAGTCTCAGTCATATCCTTAATTCTCTCAGTGAAATCAGTGGACTTAAGTTAGCATGAAGTAAACCCCATTTATTTAAATGATTCTACTCTAAATAAGGGACTTGCCCGATTTTCCAGACTGGAATTAGACTTGGCTATGTGCTTTTTGTGTACTTCAAAAAGCAAACTTGCAATTTACATCATAAATTGTTTCAGAAATTCATTTCAGCTTCAAAAAAAGGTACGCTCATGAGAGCTGGGCACACAATGTGCGGTGCTTTAGATTCCAGCCTGTATAAAGTTTTGTGTCAGTATCCTTCTTCAGTTCTGTCCTAGTAATACAGTACGGCTTATATATTGGATGTAGACTGCTTACAAGTTTCACCTCATGTTTTCAGACCATAAGCAACAAAAACCAGTAATGGCAATACATGTGACAAGCAACAGTATGCCAGTAAATAAAATATATACTTCAGAGTACACTACTGCAACGAAATAGAATGTATCTATTGAATCACCTCTATATATCCTTCTTTTGGTAACAGTAGGATTTTAAATTCTATCCATCCTCTTCATTTCTATCCATTTTAAATTCTATCCATCCTCTTCAATTCTATCCATCCTCTTCATTTAGGCTTCATTTTTGGGCCCGAGTCCCAAACTGGGGGGAAAAAAAACCAGCAGGTGGCGGGGGAACCGGAGGTGGTGGTGGAAGGGGGAATCCCGGGCACGGAGGTGCCCCGAGACCCCACTCCGGATCCACCACCAGTGCCAGCTGCTATGGATCCTGGTCCGCTCTGGATCCTGGTCCGCCACCTGTCGAAGTGCCAGCACCGCAGCTGCGGCTGCCTCCTGAGGTTTGGGTGCAGGTAGACGCCAGCAGCTGCAGCTGCCTCCTGAGGTTTGGGTGCAGGTAGAGGGGAATAGTAATCCAGTGACTTATGGCTCGTGTGCCCACAGAAAGGGCTATGTGTGCCATAGGTTCGCCATTGCTGATTTAGGCTATACAGTGCTCTGCTGAGATTAGAAACATTTCCATTTTAATTGCTTCTGGTTTGAGACCCAAGAACTACTGTACTAATGTCCCCATCCCAGAACATTTTTGCTTAGAACACCTGATAGATGGTGACTTTAGGAAAGTTGCTTTCACAGTATGTTTACCCCTAGGTAATGCAAGCCATTTCTCTAACAGATAATTCAAGGGTATGAGTTTCAGAATTAGCACTGGATATCCCAGAAATCTAGCAATAACCATGTCAGTTTTGACTGGTAGGTGCTGCGCTAGCTCACCAGTTTTGTAGAACTATCTCGCTTGTGAGGTATCCAGCTCGTTGAATGTAAAGGTGATACAGACAAGTACCATACGTTCCAGAGATGGCCAATGCATAGCCAAAGATGTGGTCCCATCTAAAGAACAACATTTAAAATCCTATTCAGTAACTTCACATGTGTAACTGAGTATTACACCAGTGGTAACTGTAACGGTTCCAAGGTGAAAGAACTATTTATGAAACATTTCAGCAAGAACATTCTGCAACTGGTTGCTTGGCTAACTGCACAATCTTTGTTGCCCGGGCATAACACCAGACAGTTACACCTACATAATTTTACATTACATGGTGACATACAGGATTCCTGCTGATAAATGTTTATAAACAATTCCATATGTAAAATATCCCAAAAGAGTTACAATTAAGTTGCCCTTCTGTAAAATTATTTTCAGTTCTATTAAGCCACATACGCGTCCTATCGAGTTATCTGCAAAAGTTGGAAAAATAGCCTCCGCCCATATTCTGGAAGTTGTAAGACTGCTATCACAAGAAGCAGGAAGAAAAAAAGAAGACGTATTTAGAAAAAAGTATAAAAGTAACCAAATATCGAAATTAACATTAAAAGAAAGTTTTATATGAATAGTTTTCTTACAGTCCCAGTTTCTCAATATGATCTCAGTTTCTTGAAGAACAGAAATGAATGGACTGCAATTAAAATAAGAAACAGGTATCTATTGTAACTTGCTTTCCTGAGGCAGTTAGGTTTTCTTTTTGTTTTTAATACATCTGCATTTATCAAAATATTGCAAGACAATTCATTTTCAACAGCCATAAAGTCACAAAAGTGCATAAAAGCCTGAAGGCAGTCCAACAGTACTTCAGCAGAACAGTCTTTCATTAGGATGGTAGAAGAGTATAAACAGTCACTGCAGGAAGGCTGATGTTGTGAGAAGGCTGTTGTTGTAAGATGTTTCTGGCAAATATAGCAAATAAAAATGGCAAAATGTTGGGTAGATGTAATGGAGCCCACCAAGAAGAACCAGTAGCAAACAGCAACATGTAAAACAGAGCAGGCAATGATAAACACATCTAATGGCCACTGAAGTTGACTCCTCTCCAGTTTTCTGTAGTGATTTTGAGTCATTGTGAAATTCTCTAGCAAGAATGCTCAGTGAATCAGATATATCATTTTTATACCACAGTTTTGTTTGCAATAATCACCTCAGCACAGATATAGGAAGAACCTTAATCCCACTTTTTTTTGTAAAAGGCAATGCAATAAGTGCATTACAAAGCTGAAGATTGAAACTCAGAATGTCATATATTAATGTAGAAGCAAGCATTAGGTGTAAGAAAGAGTCTCTATTTAAAACATTTCTACAATAGAATATTTGAACAATCATCAAGAAAAACAAGAACAGAAAAACTCCCCAAATACTGAACTTCATATATTGAAGCACCAAAATCATAGTGCTGCATTCATGGAGATGCTGAGTGCTTTTTAGAAAGCAGTTCAAAAGGTCACTGCTTTCTAAAACTATAATGTCAATTAAAAGCAAATTTCTGATGTTTCAGAGCCAGCATTAAAATCAGATTTTGAAATTTGTCTATGAAGCTTAACCAGCTTCATTAGATTTTAGTTTCAGCATTTTTGTTAATTAGGCTGTTGGGCATCAGTATATTACTTAAAACAACAAGAAAACAGATACTAAAAAAATGATAGTACACGAGACTGTGCTACATAAGAACACAAATACATATCAACTGATATAAAAAAAGCATTAAAGTTTTTTATCCCCCAAATCATTCAAGTTTATTCCAGACCTCATTATTAATATAAAGCAAAAATAACATTTTGCATAAACTGCTGCTTTAACTCTTCATTTCCTGTGAGAGACTGCTGTGGAGATAATGCTTCTTCTGCAAACATTCTTTTTCTAAAGAACTAGTAGAACAATAATTCTTAAATAAGAGAAGGTAGGTTAATGATATTAAGTAAGAAATGTTACAATAAGAAAACAAAGAGGAGTGCTTGTTGATTTCAAAGTACTGTACTCTAGTTGGTTATTAATTTGCTGTTTTCACTTCTTTTGAAGTGCAACTCCCAGAATTCACCAGGAATTACCCCAACAGAATCCTGGGAAAAGAAGCCCAAAAATTAGGTGTTTAAGGAATTTTTCTCACCTCCATGTGGCCTTCCACTGCCATTATTCTGGCCTTTGAAGGAGGAGGTAACTGCTTCTAGTGATGCCTATAAGTAGCAAGGATTCATGGAATCTCAAGGAATCATGGGATGGGTAGTCCATCAACCTATACAGTGGTGTCTTGCAAGACGATTGCCTCGCGGGACAATTAATCTGCAAGACAATTGGTTTTTGTGATCGCTGTTGTGCTTCACAAGACGGTTTTTCCTATGGACAATTTTTGCAAGACGATGTTTGGGTCTATGCTTCGCAAGATTTTTTTTTTAAAAGACCAATGCTTCGCAAGACGGCTTCCCCCCCCCCACTGGTACGCATTAAATAGATTTCAGTGCATTCCAAACTGGTACGCCTTAAATAGATTTCAATGCATTCCAATGGGGAACCACATTTCGTAAGACGGTTTTTTTTTAAAAGACCGATGCTTCACAAGAAGGTTTTTTTAAAAAGACCGATGCTTCACAAGACGTTTTTTTCCCCTTCATTGGAACACATTAAATAGATTTCAGTGCATTCCAATGGAGAACCGCGTTTTGCAAGACGATGTTTTCTATGGACGATTTTCTCAAGATTACGATTTCCCCCCCTTTGGAATGCATTAAATAGATTTCAGTGCATTCCAATGGGGAACCGCGTTTCACAAGATGTTTTCACAAGACAGCGATTTTCGTGGAATGAATTAACATTGTCTTGCAAGGCACCACTGTATATACAGGGATTCTCTCAAAGAATACATTTCATGGTCCCTTGAGATTCCCATGAAATGTTGGCATTCCCAGGCACTACTGGGGGCAGTTTCTTGAAAGGCCAACATAATGGCAAAAGAAACCCATAAGAAGATCAGAAAAACTCCTCTCTAAACTACTGTATTTTGTGCTGCATCTCCCAGGATTTGGCCTGATAGAACATTGGAGAATTTTGCAATCTGCACATCAAAAGAAATGAATGTCCCATGCCTATTGGTCAGATGACATTTCAGTTATTCAAGATGAATATTTTTCTCTAGCTCTTAAAAATGTATTTGTATATGACAGAAGATCATAATAGTATATAAGGTGGCATAAAGGTAACAGTAATTTGCAATATTGACTAAAACTCTGTTGCATAGTTACACCGATAAAATGGAAATGGCGTAACTTGCTGTGGCAAATTGCTACAAATTAAAAGGTCCCTGCTTAGATTCCTTGTTGCATGCTAATTATGTGGTTTACTACATGATCAGAAATCCAAGTGTAGATTCATTAATTAGCAGTAATCTACTGTTCCGAGTTAGACCATTTCCCTTCCATAAGGATAACTACACAATATTGGTCATTATTTGAACTCTTGTTGTTTGTAAGTGAATTTTAATTTTTTCATGTTCCCAAAAGTAGGTAGGCCAGATTCTATTCTATTGGCACAGATGACACAGCTGCAGAATTGAGTTCAGAATTGACTGCTGCATATTTATCTTGAATGTAAAAAATGGGAAAATAACTTTTTCAGGCATTGGAGCCAGTAAGGTTATAGTGAAAAATAACAAACTGCATGTGCACAAAGTAGAGAAAAACCTTGCAATGCGAAATGCCTTATCCCCAGTATTCAGGTTTATCAGGTGAATATATTACATAATTTATGGCTTCTGAATGTCACTTTAGTGTTTGTTAAGATGATATTCCATCAATTTTGAAATGTCATGTAATTCAGGAATTCTTATGAAATTCAGAAGTTTTCCTCTATTTCTTGTGTGAGGCAGACCTAGCTGAGACCTGAAAAGATGTCAAATTCAACAGTTGTCTTTTAGTTGTTAGGTTTAAAGTAGTAACATTTAGAACAGAATCCGCTAAGTAAATATAGCTTTGCAGCTTTGAAGAGGTGCATCTTACAGAAACGGGGAATTTCACATGATGGCATAAAAACATGTTGTCCTTTATAAAAAGTGATTTTGCTTAATTGGAAAAATTTGCATACCAGGAATCAAAAAAAGAACAAGTACAAGTTTGAATACTGCTCTTAAACATTTTAGTGAATCTCAGGTTACAGAGATCACCTTACAAATATCAACTGAATGACTCAACAAAATCCATACTTTTCACCGGCTTATTTATGCAGCAAGAAAAATCCTTAGTTTTCCACAAACTTACTAATAATTCTACAGTATATTTTCCTAAACTGTCAGAGTTGTTTTGCAAATTAATCAGTTTGTGCCATGGACATGATTCATCTAATATAACTTACCACAAATTAAATGTTTTCCCAATTTTTGCTCTGAAAAACCTAGAGAATGACTTTCGTTCAACGTCAGTGTTATTGTACATTAACATCCAGTATTAAGGGCTGTTAACTGCTCGACTATGCATATGTGATCAAAGAGATTTATGTTGCTGTTGTTTCTACTGTGATCAATTAATCCGCTATCAAACCAGCAATGGTCTAGGAAGCATTTTGGATTCTATCCACTTGATGTTAAAGCTACCAACATGAATCTGACCCAACTCCGGGAGGCAGTGGAAGACAGGCGGGCCTGGTGTGCTCTGGTCCATGGGGTCACAAAGAGTCGGACACGACTAAACAACTAAACAACAACAACAGTTTGATAAAGATTATCTCCAATATATGTGTACACTGGGAACACTGGGTAGTTCATTGATGGTGAAAATGCCAATATTTTAGGAATTTTTTCTTCACTGTAAAATATACTCAGTCAACAAAATATTTCCAATAACATTATTTCACCAAATCAAAAAAAATGGTGCTCAGCATTCTGATAGACTTTAAACATTCTGAATTTAGAATCTAATTGACACTTCCAGATATTTGTAGTTCAGATATACGTCAAGACATCTTAAATATCAATCTTCAATTTAATGTACTTGCTTTAGGCACATCTTGTCAGGAACCAGATGTGAGCTCAGATTAAAACTCCTGACTTTTTTCTGCAGTATCAATTTCTTCTCAGTCCCGATGATAGACTTTATTAAAAGCATAGCAGTTTTATCATGAAGTTAATTTCCCTGTGCTAATGCTTCTAGATTGCCTTAGATATCAAAGTGTGAGCTAATGTACTCTGAAAGATTAGACAGTTAATGGAGTTGGAATCATAACTCTTTAAATGGCTTATTCCCAAACAAATTAATGATTTGGAAAATCCAAATTTCAACCTTAGATTGAAATTAAAAGTGGGGAGCACAAATGGCTTCTTTGTAATTAGAATGTACATCCTATGGAAGTCATTTACTAAATTGAAGCACCACATTTCATGTTAGAACAATATACTTGTCTGACAGATTATACAAGAAATCAGTTTTTAAAAACAGGTTCATCTTCTCTATCATCTCTCATTTGGTTTCTGAACTCAGTGCTGTTACCAACAATTTCTAGAAATATCACATGGCTTCAGTTAACAGCCAATTGAAACACATCATGTTTTTATTGGTTTGCATGAGCTTTGTTTATGCCCTACTAACTTAAGTACATATTATCCCATAAAAGACCACTTTGTTTTAAAGACATGGACATAATAAAATATTGTAGAGTTCTCCAGTGTGGTGAAGGTGCCCATGCACCAATATGGATTTCCAGAGACACTACAATCTCTCTGAAATTCAGAGGGTGGAGATACATAATGTGACATTTGTAAATATGTTAAATGGGGAAGGAATACAAAAACAGGAAGGATAGTCTTCTTAGAAATCACTAACAGTTACAAAATTTTAGATAAAAATGTACTGGACAGTGTCCCTTTAACGTAATATACATTTTAAATGAGGAAATAAATTTAGGAATACAAATAACCCTTGACAACTCTTACTTTTAGAAGCAATCCACCAAATATTGTTGTGTACAAGTTCCATTCATTTTGCATTGACCTGCACTGAAGTTCAAAACAAATCCACCTGAAACAAATGGAGGGTGCACAGCAGCAATGCTTCGCAGACTCTTCCCCAACCTAGCCAGGACGTTACGTTCCCAACTGCCCTACAGGTATCTCCCATGCCTCATAGTCAGTGCTCCTAGAGATAACCAGTGTCATCTCACATAATCAGAAATTGGGCTTCCAGTGGCACCAGTTTTAAGTACTAATTCTACAAACCAGAACTGTTAACCATAATAACTGAGAACTCAATTCACCTACATACCAAACTGCTATGTAGTTGTCCTCAGTGAAACACAGGCTGCAGTTGCTTATTTTATTAACCATAATGACTTTCAACATAGTGGGCAATGTTTTGAAAGCCATTGTTCTTAGAAGCCTACAAGTTCTCAACTATTTTAAAGGAATTTAGAATTTATCATAATTAGAGCACAAACAGCTTTGCTAGAGCCACAGGAACTCCATTTTTAAACAAATGAAAACCAAAACTACTGTATTTCTTCATTCTACAAACAACAATGTTTAAGAAACAAATGAAACAATTTAAACCAAGAAGGGGCTGACAGACCCAAATCACAGGTCATGATCATGCTGTAGCTTTGTTGTTAGGAATGTGCTTCATGCTCAAATTGTAGTTTTTAGTTTGTAATCACACTACACTTAGCAGTAACTATTATTTGTTCAGTTGAACCATCAGTTCAAACTGCTGTAGACTAGGAAGCGCAGAAGGGAATCTGAGGATGCAGATGGAGAAGGAAATGCACGAGACTGGAACACATTCCTAAAAGCCAAGCTACAGGCCTATAACGATGTCTGAATTGAGGTTCATTCTAATCAGTGTTTCAAGAAAAACAACTATTCAAGGAAACAATTTGCTCCAGCCACTCTTCATTTTATGGCTAGAAATGAAAGAAAATATTTTGCAGAAACAGAGGCACATCCTTCCATTGTTTTCTCAGTTCATGGCTTGCCAAGAAGGAATTGAAGAAGTTTGGACCCTTATAGCAACACTCCACAATGTTAAAGATTTCAAACATACAAATTAGCAGGTAGTGTGATTACATTTTGAGATGAAAAGCACAAGGATGGCACAGAACTGCAAACATGATGCTATAAAGAGGCAAGTGATTTATATAACCTCATATAAAATGTTAAAATCACTACTTGAGAATACCCAATAGCACATATTTTGCAGAGTATAACACACACAGCCTTGGAGACAAATTATCCCCTTCCTTCATCAAAAATGGTTTGTTTTAATCAGCAGCATATGCATTTGTTGGTTTAGTTTGGCTTGCAACTACTAGAAAATTCCCTGCTTCTATACTTTTGAGTTCCTGCCACCATGGCAACCTCCTATTTGGTGGATGCAGTATGAAACCATACAGGTAACCTTAATCTTTTAAAGTGCCAAGATGCTGAACAGGTGGGATCAGAGCAGCACAACATAGTTCTGTTAATCTGATGAGGATGATGGTAAGACATCAGACCACAGTTCAGTATTCTGACTCTTGAAATAAAAAATAGATGGCCCTTGGTTAGAAGAGTTTGACACTCATCGGCTAACCACTGGATCTAATGCCCTAACATTAAAAAAAATAGTTTGTAGAAATCAATAATTTACACCTTTTGAAACATTATTGCTTCAGCAAACAGTTCAGTCTAGAAATACACTGTACTTGTGTATGACCTGGGCGTGACTCAATAGATATTGAAAGTAAAAGTACATATGAACTCCTGTTTACACTCACACTGAAATAATACTCTCAACATATGAGGGCTGCAAACAGATACATGGCAGCTTAATGCTGACATTCAAAACCAGTTCTGAAGACCCAAAGTTTGCCTTAGATTTCTTACCTAACTTACATCAGTTATTTTTAAAAATCCGTTTTAAATTAAGGCAATGAAATGGCTACAGTTCCTAAAGTTCATTCCAGGGGAAACAAAAATATACACCTTTCTTCTTTCTGAACTTTAGGGCAGCAGCATATAATGTAAAAACTTGTATTACACAAACATGCAACGCCAGGTTGATGTTAAAAAAAAACCCTAAGAAACAAAACAAAACTAAATCCAAGTTAAAAATATCATTTGGTGGTTTTCTTCTTCTTCACTTTCAGAGAGGAAAAATAAAGCTTAGAATTGTTTTACAGTTCTATGTGTCTAAAGCACATAATAAAAGGGTTTAGAGCAACAACAAAATCTTTCAGAAGTCTGAATTGTCACTGAGGCCATTTGGGACAAGGCACTGGTTCTTGTTTTTACTGTGCCCATATCTGTATGCACTTGTGGAATTCTTTTAGATATTTCAGTTTTTTTTCTGTTTATTCTGCACAACATTAAAAGGTATGACAGACTGTGGCTAACACATATAGCAGAAGCTGATTTTAGAGTTGACATCTCCTATTCCACTGCACTATGTCAAAATCTCCAGGCTCTCTAAAATCTTAGATGGCTGTGAAAAACCCAGAAATAGGCATTAAGATTAAGTCAGCTTTCAGCATTTTTCAGTGCATTTTGCAGAAAGGGTCTAAGTTAGGCATACAGTTCTGGTGTTTATTTTACACAGAGGAGACCACCAACATTTGACATAAAGTCTTCTAAACTTTTGAGGAAGGCCATCTTCTGCTTACGGTCCAGCGTAGGCGGAGTGCTGCTTGCAGTAAGTTTGTTGAAGGCATCTGCTAACCGCTGATAAATTATTGGATCTTGTTGACTTGATAATAATGTTTCAACTAATTCAGAATACTCAGCCTGAAAAGAAAAGACTCATTATTAAACAACAGAAAAATAAGATTTACAAATGTATTATGAGCTTCACACGTCTTAGCTCAGTAGTACTTACAACAGCCATTCAAGGTCAGTTAATACTCTCTGAAATCCTGTTACTTAGCATTGCACCCATTGAATAAAAGGAATTTGGTGAGTCAATGCCTTCATAGGTTCCATTGATTAAACTGGGCCTACTCTAGTTGTGACTTTAGCTGAATAAATTCCCTCCTGATTCAATGACCTAGTTTAGTGTGACTCACTATACTAAACAACAGGATTTCAGCCATTATCTCATTTTTCAACCTTCCTAAAGTAGCTCTCCAGACACTCCCAATAATAATGGGGACTCTGTAGGACACCAGGAACTGCAGGTGGAAGGGAGAACTGGCAGTTACCTCTCAACTCTGGTAGGCATGTAGAGGCCTCTTGGTATTATTAGGATTATTCTGCACAGAATAACTTGTGAAACATTTTTGTTGAAAAATAAAAAAAGGATCTGTATGCTAATGTAGTTAATTTCTTATGAGATAATGTTTATTCTTGATTCTGAAATAAGCTAATTATATATTGTGACTGATTACATCTATGTTCTTTCAAGTTATAACAAAAATAAAGATGGAATGCCATACCTGATGCAAACATACTAATGTGTAAAATGCTTCACCTGCTGCAGCTGTCATCTCTGTATTGTGCTTCTGTAGTACCAGCATATCAAAAACCATCTGAAATTACCAAAAAACAAAAAAAAAAACACCCACTTTAGACCTTGAAAACCTTTTTATTATGATTTACAAAAAGCTGAAAGAGAAATACTGTATTCAAGAAGCCACCGTTTGGACCCATGTTACTTGTCAGAGCATCTTTCCCTAATGTCAACTGCCCAACCCACCAGATCATCGCAGAAGAGGCTCCTCTAGGTGGCCACTTGAGAGAGGCCCATAAATTAACTACAAGAAGTAGGGCCTTCTTTGTGGTGGCTCCCCCTTTTTGGAACCACCTCCCAAAGGAGCTTCACCTCCCCCCCCCGCCCAGTGCTATTTAAGAGGCAACTGAAGATACGGGTTTTCAGGAAGGCTTTTCACTCCAAACCTGGCTGAACTGTGTTGATTGTACATATCTGTCCAGTTATTGTTATTATTATGTTTGTTTCCACTTTTATTTTCCTTTTTTTATTTCCATCATTGCTCTGGTGCCCGCTGTTCCATTAGCAAAGCAAAAGCAAAGCGTGCTGTTTATATACCGCCCCATAGTGCTTCAAGCACTCTCTGGTTGATTTACAAGTTAATTATGCAAGTTAATTAGGTAGATTATTATATTGTTTTTACTATACTACTCTGTTTTGATTATGGGTGTTTTATTGTAAACCAGAGTAGTGCAAATTAAAGAAAGAAAGAAATTCTATCATATCACACCATACCATATCAAGCATTTGCAGGATTTCACATATCCCCTCAATAATTTGATAGCAACCTGCATGGTAAGTCAAGATATCGCAAGATGGAGGGAGAGAAGGTAAAGCAAAAAACCTAAAACTGTTCATGACTATCAGTTTTGAACTGGGGAACTTTCTGTGCAACAGCTTCACCATAAACTTGTTGAATTACCTTTTTAATGAAACACTTCAGATTTCTTCTCTTGATACGCAGTACCCAATACCACAAATTTATGGAAAATGTTTGAAAAGCAAAACTTCTCAGCCAGCACAATACAGTTTCCCACCTGGCATGAGTAAAGGACAAGATGCTATCCTCCCCATTTCACATATAGAAACCAAATGTATTGGCAACTTGTTCACACTTCAGCATTAGAACAGGACGGCATCTTTTGCTGTAACTCAGGCACTGCAAAAGTCACATTGGTCCATCTTGCAGCATTTTCCTGCCCCCTAGCTGGTGGCTTTCCTCTGCTTTCCTCTGCTTAATAGTCAGGCTGAACTTACTTCATGAAGGGTTGGTATCTGACAAGTTAGAAAAGTGACCTACAAATTCAGAGTGTCCTGATCTGCACAAGGGCATTCTTATTAGGACTGAAGAGATCTTACACACATGGTCTGCATTTTCCATATTGATCTTTTATTAGACTGTTGTAACGCCCGCCCACCGCCAATGAGTATGAGTGCGCTGAAACAAACATAATCCAAGTTCCTATACAGAATTAGCAGAATGGAACACTTTATTGTATTTATATGGGGTCCTGAAAGCTCTAGCTGACTGTGTATGATCTTGGACCTAAATGACTGTTCAGAATAGGAACATGGGGTTATTGTTATCTGTTGTTTAGATGCTTTGTGCATATTTGAAGTTGTAGAGAAATAAGATGAATAGGCCCAAACTTGCAACATCCTGTAGTCTTTTCATAAGTACCCTGTTTCTCCCCCCCCATAAGATCAAACCTGAAAATAAGCCCTAGTAGGAGTTTTCAGGATGCTCTTAATATAAGCCCTACCCCAAAAATAAGCCCCAGTTAAGTGAAACCCCACCCTCTACCATTGTGCAGCAACCAGAAGAAGATGATATGATTGTATCTGAATAAATGTAGAGTGTTGTACATGAAACAAAACAAAACATCCCCTGAAAATAAGCCCTAATGCATTTTTGGAGCAAAAATTAATATAAGACCCTGTCTTATTTTCAGGGAAACACAGTATTAAATTTGGGCCATGACCAAAACTGAATAATGAAAATGCATATCCCAAGTTTCTTCTCTTACCTTAAGAAAGTGCCTTGTTGCTAAAAAAAGTGATGAATCTGTCTCCTGTGCTTTTGCACACTGTTCTGCCAGTGGTGTCAGAGCTTCTAAGCAGAGTTGACAAACATCTGAACTCATTCTGATTAACCATAGTTAAGGAATTTGGTTTTTGCAATTATGTACAGTGCAGTGCCATCAAGAAAAGAAATAGACCTTACTGGCTTGAAATTTTTCTGTATTTTATTTTAGAACAATTACATAGAGAAAGTTGCCAGAAAGTCCCCACTCCTTCCTATGAAATGTTTTCAGAATAGGTAACTTATTCTGTTACTATCAAGTTTTAAATGAGATACAATTAGAAAAAAAAAGCAAAAGCAGAGTTTAGAATTCAAACACATAGCTGATAGAATTAACGACAGCAGACTGATGTATCCAAGGGGCTGAATGTTGGCTAGCAGTTTATTTTTGGATTAAAGTTCCTAGAATTCCTCAGAGACTCCCCTCCCCTCGTGCTGAATACAGAACCTGTAGGGATAGAAGGAATCACACCCTCCCAGTTTTGCAGTTCTGGCAGCAGAGAGATAGTGTAAGATCCCATCAGGATTCTATAAAGTATCTGAAAAGCACAATTCAGTTAATATTTACAGCCAATATAAAATAATGTTTAAAAAGAAAAAGGAAGACTAAATTCCCTAAAAATGAGTACATGCAAGTTTGCAACAAAGGATACGATGTCATTCCCAACTCTAATGAATACATAAGGCTTTTAAATAAGTCATCTGGAAGCTGTGGAATTTTCTCCGGGAATATTTCACAAATAAAAGTGATTAATTTGTAGTACTGATTACATAGCGATGGAAACTACAATAGAGAAAAAGCGAAGGTTATTCTAATAAGATCTTTTAAAATATGTTTCTGTGCTCTACAGCAAAAAGAGTATAAGCCATAACAATTAAACCATATACAATACTGTGGTTTCTATACATCTCACTTTGATTTCAATGTATTACTCTCAATTGTGAAGTTCAGTACCAAATTATTACTTAAAACTATAGTTCAAATATCAGTACGGTCAAGTTACAGTAGGCATAGGTCAATCTGAAATGTAAAGAGATTTCCTTAAAAAAAAAACGGGGACTCAAAGAGAGACATATAATTGTATTACAGTCTATAATACCAGATGCTAAGTCTTGGGGAAATCTCTTTACATTTCAAATGTAAATGGATATGATTATGGTAATTAAGCTTATGCCTAAGGTGCCCCAACACAACAGTGATCAACTTTGAGGGGCAGAAGCCATTTCTCCTCCCCTAGAACTGGAGAAACACTCCTATCCCTGTATCCTGAAAAAAAAATACGGCTCCAGAACTGCAAATTATGCTCCCTTGAGGCCTTGGGAGGGGCAACTTGTGTTTAAAACATAATTCTTCCTGTGGGGGTGTTTCAGATTATAAAGGTCACCTTTCCACAATTAAGAAGTGACTGAACAAGACCTTGGGGGGGTCCAGATGCATAGGGACCGCAAAATGGGAGTCAAATACAGTGGTACCTCACTTAGCAATGTTAATCCATTCCGGAAAAAATGTTGCTAAGCGATTTCATTGCTAAGCGATATTAAAAAGCCCATAGAAACGCATTAAAACGCGATTAATGCGTTTCTATGGGCTTAAAAACTCACCTTTAAGTAATAATCCTCCATGGGGCAGCCATTTTCAGTGCCTCTAAAGCGAGGAAAAACAGCAGGCGGCCATTTTGTTTTCCCAGCGGCCATTTCAAAACGGCCGATCAGCTGTTAAAAAAGGGTCGCTTTGCCATGATCACTTCCCCGCGATCATCACAAAGCGAAAAGCCCCATAGGGACCATCGCAAAGCGATAGCTTCTGCGATCACAAAAAGTTAGTCGATAAGCAATTTCGTTGCTCAACGGAGCGATCGCTATGCAAGGCACCACTGTACAGCCTGTGATCTCTTGCTGTTGTGACTGAACTGGCTATACTGGTTCGAGAGGGTGGGAAGTTGTATTCCAACATGTCGGGAACTTCTTATGTGTGCCACTTGTGCTTTATGCAAAGTGGTGGTGAGTGAAGGGAAGAACAAAATAGAAAAAAATAACTATTAAAGATAACTATAATAGATCATTTCTGTTTATTGTAGCAGAACAGTCGAGATTAGGCTTCTTCAAACACCATATATTATGTTTAAGTGTTAAGTATCACATGTTTACTACTACAGCTTGGATTAGGATCAGTCTATCATTACAGCAACATTTTCAGGGCATATGAAGTGCAAAAACTAAAGGAGAACATTCTAGAACTCATTTGATCCTTCTAGCCAAGCATCAAGCTACAGGTGGTAGAAGAAATGACGTGTGTATATGGGGCTTACAACTTTATTATATCTGGAGCTACAAGGTATAAGTATTGAATAGACTAGCAAAAGAATATCACATTTTTCCATTTATAACACACCGCCATTTATAAAACGCCCCACCCAATTTTCTAACCCCCAAATTAAGAAAATTCAGCTTTGAGGATTCAGCCTCTGAGCTTCGAACAGCAGACATTTTGTCTCTGTTGAATCTTGACCCTACAGGCTCCACCTCCAAGGAGGTGTGCTCCAATCGGTTTGTTAAGGATCAGCTAATGTCAGTTCCATAAGGCTCGTGACTGGAGGAAACTAAGCCTCGTGGCTGAAGTAAGACTTTTTAGAGGCAAGGTACATGCCGTTTTGTTCTCGAAACTAAACCTCGTGGCTGAAGTAAGACTTTTTAGAGAGGCAAGGTACATGCCGTTTTGTTCTCTCTTCAGCTATCTCATCTTGTTTCTGTGTAAAAGACACTCCTTACTTTTTAGGGTAATGATTTTAGGAAAAAGTATAGACGGAAATATACGGTAATTTCATCTGCCAGACATTAAACTGTACTTACTTTTAGCAAGTCTTGGGACATTAAAGGCAGAATTAGATTCACCCCGTATAAGACAACATCTGCTGCTGACACAGATCTGTTTGTGGCTTGCCCAGGTTCATGTCCCCTGAATACTTCATCTGAAGAAAAACAGCAACACACTTTACGCTTGCCAAATTAAGTCTAAAATGCATCCAACTCCAACTGTAAATGAGTATAGCCCATCCCTAATGAGCAACAATCTGCTGCTCTCCCTTTAACTGGGCTTGCCAGCTTCGTGACCCCATCACCTTCCACACCAACGCCGCCCCCTCCACTGCTGCCCTTGTTTCCCGCAAAAACAAACCCAGCGCCACCAGCCCCAATGGGAGCCTCAGTTCAGGCACTGCCACTGGAGGAACCCAAGCCACCACCGTGGTGCCTCCTGGCAGCAGCGGCGGCAATCCTGGAGAAAGTGGCATCAGGTACATTTAAAGAAGGGGGTGGAGAATGGGAATAAATTATTAACAATAAATAAAATAAAGGATGGTAATTGAATAAATGTAGACTGTTGTTCTTGAAAAAATAAAACATTACCCTATAATAAGCCCTAATGCGTTTTTGAGCAAAAACACTGTTGTTCTTGAAAAAATAAAACATTCCCCTAAAATAAGCCCTAATGCGTTTTTTGAGCAAAAATTAAGATAAGATCATGTCTTATTTTGGGGGAAACACGGTAGATAGGAAGAGTCTGTCTTTGTTCATTCTACTTGACCTCTTAGTAGTTCTGGCCTCTCATTGGCCATAGTATTCTTCTGGGTCTTTCATTTGGAATAACCCTGGGAGGCAGTTTTACAGTAGCTCTGTTTCGTCCTGAAGGAACAAGCTCAGAAAGTGGGATGATGGAACCCTCCTCAATGCCTTGGCCAGTGGCTGGTGGGATCTCTCAGCATCCCATTGTGTCTCCAATACTATTTAACATACAAACAAAACCACTGGGAAAGTTCTTTGGTGTTTTGGGGTCTGGTGCCACCAGTATCTGGATGACAGCAAATTCCTTTCCCTTTTGGTTAAGTGTTTTTGTTCTAAACCCAGTGTTTGCTATTAGTAACAGATTAGATCAGTGGTTCTTAACGTGGGCGATAATGCCCAAAAATAAAACAAACAAACAAACAAACAAACAAACAAATAAGATATCATCACCGCGGGGAGGGGGGCGATGATAACGTCCTCAATGGCTCAAGGGGGCGTTTCTTTCAAAAAGGTTAGTTAGTAACAGATTAGATGAAAGTGAGCAAACTGAAACTTAATCCAGGTCAGAGAGGTATTCCCAGTCATTCCCTGACTTTCAGATCCGGGAATAGGAATTTGATCTGTAACACAGGGCATTACACTCCCCTGAAAACTAAGATTCACATATTGGGCATGCATGTGGATTCACTCTTTAGCCTGGATACCCAGGGTACCTGTTAGTAACAGATTAGATGAAAGTGAGCAAACTGAAACTTAATCCAGGTCAGAGAGGTATTCCCAGTCATTCCCTGACTTTCAGATCCGGGAATAGGAATTTGATCTGTAACACAGGGCATTACACTCCCCTGAAAACTAAGATTCACATATTGGGCATGCATGTGGATTCACTCTTTAGCCTGGATACCCAGGGTACCTAGACTCTTGACTGGGGCTGTTTAAGGGAAAACATAAATTCTTTGTTAGGACAGCTTCACTGGGACCAGATCTTGTTCTGGGCACAATCCAGCATGCTGATTTGGACTTATAAAGCCCTAAACAACTTGGCTCAAGAGTAGGTGAAGAACCGTATGTCCCCATCTGAACTTCACTGTTTTTTAACATTTTTAAAGGGAACCACAGTTAGCCCTGATCTTCTGATGTGTATTGAATGCTTTTATGATAAAACATGTATATTGAGAATGTTTCTATCTCGATATCTCAATGTTTTAAGAGCACTATATCCTACTTTCCAGTTCATAAGAATCCCCCAATTAGCTCTCCAAACTACTCAACACTGAAAAATCAGCACTTAAAAATCTGAGAAATATATGGGGTAGGGGTGGGGAGCAACACAAGGAACAGGAAAACAATTAAAAACTGAAGAAACTCAAGAAAAGCAGTACTAAAACAAGATGACAATTAAATAAAGAGTACTAGCGCTTAAAGATTATGTCAACCTCACACCCCAAAACAAGAACTAGAGATAAACTAGAGAGAAGGCCTTGTTATTTAGGTGCCACATATCTCATCTTCAAAGGCACTGAGAAAAGGCCCTTGGAAAAATAATTTCAACAGTTAAGCAGATTCATATGAAAGCAGATGGTCCTTTAGATGATCAAGTGGCAAGAGGAAAAACCTTTCTAAAGGTATAAATAAGACCAACATCCCTTGTGGTTGTATTTCTTCCTACCTGTATCACTGAAGTCTATAAATTCTTTTGAAAGTAGGTTAGTAAGAAGTTCCATAATGAGAAGAAGATCCTGATATTGATCCTCTTCTGCTGTAACATCTATTCGTTGTCTACCTAAATTATTCTTGGAATATACCTGAAGTAGGGTCAGACAAGCTTCATATAAATTCATGGCTTTAGACTACAAAGGAAAGGGAAAAAACATTTTAATAAAATTTTGTTAGCTTTAATAATGACAGTCATAAACATAAAAAGCTTACAATTTCCATTTTCCTAATGTTCGACAGGAAACATATTCATTTTCTCTTTCCAGATACTATTCTTTCTACTATCTTAAAAGAGCATGTTCATGTAAGTTAGTTAGTTGTAAACCTTATTTAATAAATAGTGCATATATTGTCATCAACCAAACACTTACTTTTAGATTTACCCAAAGGCTTACACACGACCTGTGGGATTCTTAATTAGCTTAATGGTACAAATCCCATCAAGGTAGCCATGTTAGTTATTTTAAAGTAAGAGGCAACCAAGTATCTAAAAGAATCTAGAAAGTTAAAGCCAGGACCTTCCTTGGACATTACACTCATGAAACTCTCAGTTGCTGAAGTGTTTTGAATTTTTTTTTACCCTCTCACAAAGAGGCACTGAATACTGTCTTGTGCATGTGCTTCTTCTCTTTCCCCTCCCCTTCTTGAGCATATGCACTCTGTCAATTGCTTGTTGTTATTGCTGCCCAGCCAGTTTCTTTTTGCTGAGGTGGCAGAGGTACTAAGCACACTGTGTTTTTTAAGATCCTACATTAAAATCACTCGCTCCTGTTGGCATTTCAGCAAAAACAGACCAACCAGACAGCAGGAACAACAAGCAGCTCCCAGAGTGTGCGTGTAAGGTGGGGAAAGGACGCAAGGACGGGGAGCGATGGAGAGGTAAAAGTTTAACAAAAGAAGGCTAGAGTCTGCTGCTTTTTTAAGCCACCCTAAGCCAGGCTTGTCTCAACGGTCCCAGCAAGAGGAAGACAATCCAAGGTAGTTAAGGCTTTCCTACTCTGGAAAGCCTGGATAAGGCTTTCCTACTCTGGATAAGGCTTTCCTACTCTGCCAATGATGCTGAACGTAATCTAAGTCTAAGAATGTTGTAGGCTACAGCCCACATAATGCGATATCAAAAGTGTCCTTAGTTGAGAGATACTATTAAAGGTGACATTTGTGTTACTCATACCATTTAGTCTATTGCAATGTGTTCTATATCGGCATGCCTTGCAAAAATATTTGGAAGCTTCAGTTGATCCACAATATAATAGCCAGACTGTTGACCACTAGGGCCAAAGGGAGCATATTAAATCAATTTCACTGGCCACTATTGGGATAAATCTATCTATATAAAAATAAAACAAATACAGTATAAGTGTACATTTCAAGCCTTCATAAACTGGACACCAAAAGTGTCTGTTGTGACGAAATTTACCTCTCCAAGATAGCATATCTGTTTATGTGCAACTTCAACAAAAACCTCTATGATGAGGTTAACAGTCTCTGGTGTATTTTTATACACTTCCATTAGTCCGATGCAATTGCTGAGGAAGTCCATCAGAAAATTAAAGAGAATTGCTACATTGTCTATCTGGGTAGCCTCAGCGATGCCACAAAGTGCCTCCAAGGTGGCAGTGATTTCCTGTTTCACCTCCTCCTCTTGGCAAATTTGTTGGAAGTTCTCTTGGTTTATCACATTCAAGAATCGCTGCTGAAGTGGATGAAGAACCTACAGAGTTAGAAGCAAACAACATCTATTACTGTTTCTTATTTTAGCAGCATGTGAAGGTATGACTTTTTTTTACTCAGGTGTAAATAAAAAGTGTACCTGTCCTGGACAGCACTATCCTCCAAATATGAACCGACATGAAAGCAGTTTAAAATCAGCTGACGATGTCTGGCTTCTACTTCAATGTGGAAGCACAGTGGTCTCCAATTATAACTCCATATTGCGTTACAGTGATTTATGTCTGGTCTTTTCCCCCCCAAAAATGTGAAGACCACTCAGCCCTGCCTTTGGGGCTTAGCATTCTACTTGTTTGCATGATTACCTGCTGCTGAGAACTGTAAACAGCAACTCTGACCAAGACATCAGCTTCCTTTTCATATTATGTATAGGAATACACTGTTTTACAACAGTTTTGCACTTGACACTCCCCATCCCCCATGGACTAAAAGAAACAATCACTCTAGCTTCAGCTGAAACCATTATTTCCTTTTAAAAAAATAAAACAACATTCTAACACTTCGGAAGGCATATAAAACCTTGTAAAGTAGCAAACTTCTGTAATGATGGCTAGGATGCTTATGCTAAACAGTGCTTTGTAAATTTGAGACTAGAACTAAAAATACACTTGTCATTTTATTTATTTATTTATTTGTTTGATTTATACCCTGCCCATCTGGCCTGTAAGACCACTCTAGGCGGCTTCCAATATAGTGTAAACAATAAAATAATACAGAAAATTATAAATTGTACGACGACAAATACAATACAAAGATGGAATAGAAAATAAATAAAAGGAGAATAACCAGAAAAGCAGGTATTAGCTGGAGAAAAGGCCTGAATGTATAGCCATGTTTTTAATTGAGTTTTAAAAGTGCCCAGAGTGGGGGCCGCACGAATCTCAGGAGGGAGATTGTTCCAGAGGCGAGGAACAATATGTATCTTATTTCATTATTTTGTATAATACATTGAAAACCCCCAGTATGTGCCCTTTCCATTTTTGACCAGAAAGCCTAATTAAGTTCAACATAAAGGAAATTTTATACTTTATGCTTTTACGCTTCATCCCCACATGTATGACCACTGTGGATATAAACCTGTGGCCTGAGTACTGTGCTCCATATATCTGGAGAAACAGATTGTAATTAGAGATAGACACGAGCCTCGTAGTGCAGTGGTTAAGCTGTTGTACTGCAGCCAAAACTGTGCTCACGACCTGGGGTTCAATCCCAGGCAGCCCAGTTCAGTATATCAGCAGCACACTTTCCTTTGGTTTTTTCAGCAGTTTGTGCTGATCCATTTATCAGCCAAATACAGTGGTGCCTCGCTTAGCGACGTTAATCCGTTCCAGGAAAAACGTTGCTAAGCGATTTAATCGCTAAGCGATTTTAAAAAGCCCATAGAAACGCATTAAATCGTGTTTAATGTGTTCCTATGGGCTTAAAAACTGACCTTATGTGAAGATACTCCATGGGGTGGCAATTTTCGGTGCCTCAAAAGCAAGGCAAAACAGTGGGGGGGCCATTTTGTTTTTCCGGCAGCCATTTTGGAACCGCCAATCAGCTGTGCAAAAAGGGTCGCTTTGCTATGATCGCTTCCCCACGATCATCGCAAAGTGATTTTTCCCCATAGGGGCCATCGCTAAGCGATCGCTATGACTAAACCCCATCGCTAAGCGATTTCATCGCTCAACGGAGCGATCGCTAAGTGAGGCACCACTGTAGGTGTTTGTTACTTCAAAGCCCCGCCTTCTCCAGTGGGTGTCCACTCGGAGGCAACATCCTGGCTTTCCTGCCCTGTCTCCTTCGGGCGCTGCCTCTGAGTGTGAACTGTTGGAAGAGGCAAGGCTTTGACATGCCAAATAGTGGTTTAGCTGATAAACAAACCAGCACAAACTGCTGAACCTTCAATTTGTGCCTATCTGTTAATTGTAATCCATAATCACTCATGTTAAGATAAATGCCACAATACTCTTTTTTCCTTCTTTCTTCCTCACAGAGAAACAGAATTAACACAGCCTTTGAAAACTGGTTCTCTTTAAAATTTGCTTTATGTTGAACATAATTAGGCTTTCTGGTCAAAAATGGAAAGGGCATATACCAGGGGTTTTCAATGCACAATACAAACAAGTCAAGTATTATAAAGCACCATACTTTAATGGTTCCAAGTGAAGAAACTCTTATTTTTTCCCCTACATTGAGACTTACCTCTGTCCAATACTGCTGTTTGGCATCAGACTCCATATGAGCAAAACCTCCAAGAACTAAGGCTTTCATTAATGTTCGTTGTACTGAACTGGACAAAATGTGAAGAGGTGGGTTCCGTCTGGCAAACTGTTTTGCTAAGTTCCACCAATTCTCACAATGAATTACTAAATTTGCCCTAAGAAAAGAAAGATTAAAGATAACCATAGTGTAACCATATGTTAACAACTGCATTTAAAGTATCCTAAGATCTGCCTTCTCCTGTACTTAACTGATGTCTAGTTCTTAACTGGACGTCACTGTCATCTGATATTAAAAAGCAAACAGCAAAGCAAAGCGTGCTGCTTATATACTGCCCCATAGTGCTTCAAGCACTCTCTGGGTGGTTTACAAGTTAAGTTATGCAGGCTACACATTGCCCCCCCCCCACACCAGTGAGCTGGGTACTCATTTTACTGACCTCGGAAGGATAGAAGGCTGAGTCAACCTTGAGCCGGCTACCTGGGATTGAACCCCAGGTTGTGAGCACAGTTTTGGCTACAGGACAAGTTTGACCACTGTGCCATGAGGCTCCCTATTAGTTAATTAGCACCTAGACAGTGTTGATAGGTGGAAGGATGAACTTCTCACTGGCAGAAGTGAAAATGTGGAATATCATCATGTGTTTGTTTGGCATTATTCTGGCCCTCTTTCTGAGCACCAAGTAAAATCTTAACTTGTTCTCCTGTGGTTTTAATGGAATACTTTAATAGTCTCCAATTTAATTTGCATGGTTTTGAATATGTTAACACACTGTTATTTGCTCATTTTCCTGTTAATTATCATTTGGATTTGTTGCTTAATTTAGTCTCTATCTGACTTACTAGTTAAAATTTAAGAGATTTTTCAGCTTGGCAGCAAGGTGAATTTGACTGTTCAAGAACTAATATTAAAAACTTTTTTAAAAAATTAAAAAAACAACAACAAATAAACACACCAACTAAAACTATAATATCAGACAGAGCTGGGCAATAATTACATTAAGTAAAATTCTCATTTCCAACTAAAGGTGTAGCTGCTTATATATCACCCCATAGCGCTTCATGTTTTTCTTTTCTTTTTGCCTGAACTGATGCAATGTTAATTTATTTAAAAAACTGGCTGTTTTGTAAATTTGATTCTTTAGAGTGCTTCTCACAAGCAAGTAATCCTTTTATTCCAAAATTGAGTGCCGTTGGTGATAATGCATGTTACTTACGTCTCTCATTACACCACATGCTACCACCCACAGAATATGCTTTCTATTCTACTCACAGAAAACCTGTGTAAAAATAGGATGCATGAGCAGCACCCACCCAGATAAAAAGTCTATTTTAAAGCAGATCATGTTCACTGCCAAAGAACCACATGGCAAGTCTTTCATAGTAGCAACACACTAACTAGGACCAATGCCATCAGACACATCTGTTCTTCTGCTTATAGTAGTGGAGAATATGAACAGCAGCATTTAGAGTTTAGACTTTTTCTAGAACAAGCAGAACACACATACTACGGTGGAAAGAGGGTCTAACTGGGGTGGACACCACTTGGCTGACAGGTCAGTCTTCCTTAGTTCTGCAAATACTGATCACAATTGTCACTGTGTATTTTAATAGGGTCAAACTAGATTTGGAATTAACTGCTTTCAATGTAGGCTTCCCTATCATAGCAATGGCATTTCAAGGGACAGGGCAATTTCACAGGAAGGTGAGAAGGAAGACAGCCGGTGTGGCCCAGGCTTTCCTATGTCTATAACAATAACAACAAAAAATCCATTTAGATTTTTACGCTTACCTCTCTCGTCTTTCTACCAGCGTTACTAGGAGCTGCACAGTATCATTTGCAAGGTCCTGCTCAGAACTCCAGACTGCAAGATTGCTGATGACTTTTTCTAAGAGGTAACCCACAATCCACTGGGCACCCTCAGTATCAGCACCAAATGCCGTACTGAATGGCATACTTATCTTTAAACCAAAACCAAAGCAAACAGACAAACAAATTAAAAAATGATCATCATGGGTTTTTTTTTTCAGTCTAGAATACTTGCAGAATACACTCCCCATGAAAATATCCAGGCAGGTTTGAAAAGAAAAATCTTTAGAAACTATACAATGTTTTGATACCAACAGTTAATTTTTTTCTCAATTGTTGCTATTGTTTCTATTCTATATCTTGACTTGGGTAACCAAGTGCTAAACATTCAGATTTCCTGTTTCATACAGGAATTAATCAATTCACTTCCAACTTACGGCAGCCTTAACAGGGTATTCAAGTCATGTTAAACGTTGAAGAAATGATTTTACCATCACCCTGCCTAAAGGGGTTTTGAAATTAAACAAAAAATTGCACCCAGGTCTCCAGTCTGATATGCTATGCACTGCACCACAATGGTTCTCAACAACGTTAGGAAGCCTATAATTTTAACGGAGGCACTCTATAGTTGATGTTGTCACATATACATGTTTCCAAGCTACAAACAAAAACCTATAGTCTCCTCAGAAGTTCCTATATATTAATTATACACACATGCGAGGCCATGCATGTGTATATAATTAACGAGGTGGAAGAGGAAACCATTTTAGGCTCTTTTCGAAGCATGCTATACAGTGGTGCCTCGCTTAACGGGCGCTCCGTTTAGCGACGAAATCGCTTAGCGACGACTTCGTCGGAGCGTTTTTGTGCTTCGTTTAGCGATGGTCCCTATGGGCGATTTTCGCTTAGTGATGGTTGGGACCATGCTTCGCATAGCAATTAAAATTTGGGTCCCCTGTTTCGCTTAATGATGGTTTAAACAGCCTCATGTTTGCTGTTTTTTACATGTTTTTCTGTTATTTATAAAGTTAAAGTTTACTGTTTAAAATGTTTGAAATCATAAAGTGCACTTAATGAACCCTTTGTTAATCAAATTTGACTTTGTTCTGACTCTTTTAATTTGTTGTTGTATTTTTCCCCCATTGAGATGCATTAAATAGGTTTCAATGCATTTCAATTAGGGAACCGCGTCTCGCTTAGCGATGTTTCCTATGGTGATTTTCGCTTAAGGACGGCAATTCGTTCCTATTGGAATGGATTATCCAGTTTTCAATGCATTTCAATGGGAAACTGCATTTTGCTTAGCGATGAAATCGCTTAGCAGCGATTTTTTCAGAACGAATTAACATCGCTAAGCGAGGCACCACTGTATTTGAATGTTCTCCCCTTATATCTACTCTCTGCAAATAATAAGCCAGCATATCAAAGACAAAGTTTTCTCCCTATTCCTGCTTTATTAATATACAGCTTGCAGACATTGCTTATAACATTTTGAAAAAACAAACAGAGAAATACTCAAAAATATAATCTCCCGTCTCCTAGATTTACAGCCTACTGTATCATTATTTTTGGATCCCTTCATCCCCATTTCAGACTGTTGCATGTGTATAGCTATGCAGGTAAGCTATGCACTACGGGTAGTGATAGAAACTCATGTCTCTATGAGTCAATTTGGCATAGAGTTCAGTTTTTGACAAAGCCAGAATTATAGGCATCTAAATGGAAGAAAAAGTACTCTCACATTAAAATGTGTTTTACCTGGTCATACAGTTTTTCATCTACAAGTAGATAGGTTTTTGCCCATCGCTTAAGGAACCACACAATATCTTTCCCCATTTGTGGACTCAAAAGGTGCGTTAGATTAGCTCTTATTGCTCGAGACTCCACTTCCGAAACTCTTAGAACAGAGGACAGTAACCTGAGGAAGATTAAAGACATCATGATTTCTCCCCAGTGTTCATTCTCTCTCATACATACACATTCAGAGGGCTGAAAATTTCAAAATATGAGAGTATAACTAGAGTGTAACTGAGTGACATGATCTGTTTCATCAATATTCCAGAAGAAAAATAATATTTTGGTTTGGAAAAATAAATTCTGCAAGAATTCTCTCTGCTTTTTCAGGCACTACATCTAGCAAATGTAGTCTGTTGTTTGCCTTGGGAGATTATAATGTGGGAAAGAATAATCTTCAACCTTTAATTTGGCTGCTGCAGAATAAATAATAATTTCTCCAAGACCAAGTCAATAAAAGAAGTGTGAATGTTTCTATGGACACTTTCTGTAAAATATTTGAAGCTTCTTTATGTCAGGTGTTACAGCTGCTGCTCTTACACTGACCCAAAACTAATTAGAGCTGAAAACTGATAAAGCCTTATTTCTGATAAAAAGAGCTATGAGTTTTATGCAGTAATACAGTGAGAAAGCATGCAGCTCAAAAAAGATTAGACCAGTTCACACAATAATGGGGATGGGAGACGAGGCACTGGTCAGTGTCAGAACACACATTTGATATACTTAGCAGCTTCTCTTCATGATCCTAGAGAGCTTCTATGAGGTAGGAAACAGTGCTATCTCTAGGGAAATTCTTTCGGCCTTTATTTTTGCAGCCTGCCGAAAAGATATCTCTGCTCCGAGCATCGTATTTAAAAGAATACTGTTATGCAGGCACATACCTGGCATGTACTTGCAATCTTTAATGTTTTTATCATGTACTGTGTGAAGTGGTTATTTGGCATGCTTAAAACCCACTGTAAATAAATGGAGCTCAGATATTGAAGTGTTCAGATTGATCTCACTGGGATTTAAGCTTACTTTTCTTGAATCACATTCTTGCTCTGCTGCTTGCACTTTATTTCTGTATGTCTCTGAGAAGGCATCGTCATCGTTGTCCCAATACTAACGGGCATATATTTCTGACATCACTTTTAAATAGTAAAGGGATTCTATACCGACTTCCTGTACACTCAGTGAACCATGGCTGGATCTCAAAATTTGCAAACAATTCAATAAAATACCTGCAACAGGTATAGCACTGCCAACCACATTTAGCCCCGAGAGAGACATTTTCTTTTAACATGTGTTAATCCTTCCAACCCCAGGACCACATGCATAGTGAAAGAATATTTTTATTATTTCTGGCAAAAATTAACCCAGAAAGAGATCAGGCCAAAACGTTTTGAATATTATTTGGACTCAGGCAGGGGACAGTGAAAATCAAGTAGAATACACTATCACTTTCTCAAGGAGAGTTTTTGGTTACAGATGGAGAACCCCCTGAAGTTTTGCCCTTAAGAATCACTGAACAGACTAAAATCTTCAAAATTTTGCAGAAGCATGGAGCTGATTCTCTGAATTGCAGCCTTAAGGGCCAGTTGCTTGGAACCATAAACATATGAACGTAATTATATATCATGGAATTCCAATTCTCTTAATTTCTCATTTCATAAACTTCTCTATGCTGACACTCAGCCTTCTCAGGCTGGTTGTGTACATCTACTCTGTGCTGCTATTGTAAATATATATATATATTGTAACTTGCAAAGCAGCTCTCATCTCTTCTCAAAATTCAGCAAGCTTTACTTTTATGTTTTTCCTTGACCACCAATTCTAGGTTGCTATGTTAAGTTGACATAAAGCCTATTTAATGTTATTTCACCACTTGTGACATTCACAATGCTACCATGGATTAATTATCTATGAAGTCAGCCCTATCTACATCTGATTTGTTTTCAATATTTGGTATTAAAATACTAAATAAATTACCTAATAACAGAATCGGTTCTGTTGTACCCTGGAATGGAAGAGGCCTTTTCTCCTGGAGATCCAAGCATTTGAAGCGTTGTATTGATGTCAACCTCAGCTGAGTGCTTAATGGAACACTCCATTATTTCTGGAGGTATTAGCGGAGTCTCTCCCTGAGTATCATTAGCTAAGAGGTAGCCTTAAAATTAAAAGCAAACAAACAAAAAAAGAAAGTAGTGACCTCAGGTTTCCTAGCCTAAATTAAATACTGCTTTAAGGGCCATCACAATAGATGTTGAGAGCGCTGGCATCAACATTTGACTAAAATGTATAATATGCTTAAGCTGTAATTTGCATTTATGTCACATATTTCAGTTTTCTGCTTCTGTGAACACAATCTAAAGACTACAATGACATATAACTCTTTGGGAAGCATATAATATATTAAAAATACTTACAACCTTAAAACATCACAGCAAATATAAACTATGTCCTGAGTAATACACACTATAATTCTTACTACAATGCAAATGAATTTAACTAATACTAATTTGTAAGTGTGAAATCGTTTTCATTTGCACTGAGTCTGTAGCATAGGCTAACATGAAACATTTTAGAAACTTCAATTATAATAGCAGCCAAAATAAATCTGTGATTCTTCCAGAGGGAATACATAATTGCTGGAGGCAGAACTGCACTTAAAATGTATAAAAATACTTTCTGACAGTCCATTAGAGCCCCAACGAAAACAAAGCTATATATTGTGAGGAATCTGGTCAACCCTATCCCTGAATCTGCATCAGATTTACATGTCTATGGCTGCTGGATCACTTGTGGTAGATGTCAAGTTGATTTTAGGGATATGTCAAGCATGTGGGTTGACCTAAGTGACTCCAATCCTGCATGTCATCATTATATTATTTACATATGGCTTAAGTTCTTCTATCTGAAATTAACAGATAAGGAGTTGGGAGTATCTCCCCTGTTTCAAACAGGCCCTGCTTCCCAGTGATAAAGAAGAACAGGTATTAGGATTATGGGAAGTTATTCATGTGAACATGTCAAGAAGACACCAGATGAAATTATGTGGAACCAGTTACTGCTGGCAGGGCAGGGCCTTCTCATACTCTGCAGAATTTCATCTTGCTGTACTTGTGTTCCCTTTCTCTTTCTGAGCTGGAATTGGGAGAGTCTACTTTAACAGCTGAGTCTTCAATACTAACACTACCACCTCAAATGTTTTGGGAATGAATGGTAAGGTTTCCTGCATCACAGTCGTGGTGCTGAACAAATATCCTTCCTAAATTAATTATACAGGTACATGGGCATGCTCTCTAAACTCTTCATTCAGGAAACAGACACTACCTATTGCCTCTAACAATGAAATGTCACACCTCAAATCATACTAGGTGTAATAATAAAATACTGGAGTATATTTGCACATGTCATAATTTTCTTCATAGCCTTCTTAAATGGGTCACCTCAGATTTTTTTTTCTTTGAGATGGAGGAAGGGAGGCAGGCTCCTTAGGCTCCCTTTAGATAACTGTGTGGGAGAAATTAAGAGAGTGGGATTTAACAACTTGCTAAACAGACATTATATTCCAAGACTTGGGTAAATTTACCTTACTGCTGATAGGCAGTATTATTTGGGAAAAGGTAAGATGGCAAATAAATTGCTCCTCCATTTCCTATTGGAAAAAGATCCCAATTTGACCTTCAACAGCAAGAGCAGCTTCATCTTTGTGTAACCTTATCCTATATCAACAACTTCTGCTCTTTACCCAAATGCATATCAGGATCACAAAGACCTTCTGACATTTTTCCATTGCCAAGAGGGATTTTCAAAAAATTGGTATTGGTCATGAACTGCCAAACTGGGAGCATTGCAAAAAGAATATATCCCTCTGTGTAATCCAAATTCTCACTTCTTTTCATAAGTAATCAAAAGCTGAGAGGTGATATGTCTTGATAAATAAATTGTACTTTCCAGTGGTGTAAGATCACCTGTTCTATGGTCAGAACTGTTCTACTCACCTGTAACTAGAATAAGCCAATGAATATCCTCATATAGGTCATCAAGCGCTTTATTGTCAATGGAGCCTGATCCTGGTGAACCAATTAATTGCTGATGCCTTTGTAATTGGCCATGAAGCCTTGTCACTCTGTCTTCTAATAAACTGAGGAGAAATATGAAGCAAATCTGTTCATAACTGTGTTTACATCAAGCTGTTTCTGTGTTTGTGTGCAAAGGTGATATCAAAAGTTTTTTATAAATTCACAAACCATACAGACTATACCTTGTAAGGAGAGGTATACAGTGTTCAGCAGCAATTCTTCCTAACATGCCTACGCTGGCCAGCTGATCAGAAAACTGTTCTCTGTCATCCTCTTGCAGCTCACTTATTTCTTCTTCTTCTCTGGAGGCCACACCATTAGCAGTCTGGCATTTAAGAAAAGTTACAAACACTTCAGTTCATTGCATTTTCTTATTCGTTGTAAGACAATCATATAGAGCAATCATATAGAGCCCACTTGTGGTTTAAAATAATCAGGGGAGGCTTGCTCTCAATCCAACCATCTTCACAAGTGCATTTGGTAAGGACAAGAGAGAAGGCCTTCTCTGTGCCACTGCTTCCTGGCTATGGCCCTCCCCCAGGAGGCCAGACTGGTATTATCTTTGCTCCCCTTCTGCAAGCAGGCAAAGGTCTGTCTTTTCAGGCAGGCTTCTTCTCAGTGAGAGGGGCTGTTTTTATTTCTGGTCCCCCCTTTTCAGTTTTTATATTGTCTTAATATTGTACGCCACCCTGGGTCCTCTTGGGGAGAAAGATTTAAATATTTTAAATAAATAAAAAAATAGGTAAATACAAATCATAAGATTTCTATTAGTAACCTCTAAAGGGAAAAGTGGGGTGCAGAATGATTTACTTGTATATAATAATGACTAAACAACAACAACCTGATATCAAAACAAAGACACAAACCCATGTACAGCCATGAGAGATCAAATCAAAGGTTTATCTTGTCTAAGATTCCGTTACTACAAGGGCCAACTAGATGCCTAGAAGTTTACCAACAAAACATGAATGCAGCAGCGTTCTCCCACTCTTATTCCAAAGCAACTGGAATTGAGAAGCATGCTATTTCAGATACCAGAATGAACAGTCATCCTGACTAGTGGTCCTTGGCAAGCTCTTCTTCCATGACATCATTTACTTCCCCTTTAAAACTTTCCATGTTGAACTGGTAAATGAAGTCCTTCCCATCCTGATTTCAGCTGTGGGTCTCGAATATGCTTGTCTTGGATGTATGAAACTAGGCTGTAATTCTATCTACAATATAGGTTTTCTGGGCTGACTTGGCTGTCTGTCTTGTTTTTACTAAAAGTGCTACACACACATTCTCTGCGGCAATAATTAAAATGCATGTCTGTGATGGAGAAGCTCAAAAGGAGCCAGACATACACTCAGGCCTGCTAGGTGCTCAAAAACGTCTCTCAGGTTATAGTCCTAGTGGTGATGGCACAGAAAAAAAACCAAAACAAAAACCAAGGAATTAGTTAACACATTTGGCTTATAAATTAATCTTACACAGCTTGGCTATTAAGAGAGGAAAAAACAGTGCTAAAACCTTTCTGTAATCTGTGACACCACCACCAGAATTCTTGTCCAGGTATTGTAGAACATCAAATTCTAAGGGAGAGTAGGCAGATAATAAGTCGAAGGAGGGGATGCAGCATAGACAGGACTGTGGAGATAAACTGTGAATGACATCCTGTGACAAGGATTTGCAAAGAGCAGGCAAGCTATAATTCCTAATTGTCAGGAATCTGCCTTCAAGTACACTACTTTCTCAAGCTGGAGAAAAAAAGTTAGAAATTTTTATTTAAAGTTAAGATACTTGGGAGATAGAGCTTTATTCTGCAAATTAAGAAAGGCTCTGTAGTTGAAAATTATTATTAGACCACTAAGGATCAGTTCATATAATAATTTAAACTATGAACTGGAGAATCACAAATGAGCCATAAATTCATTCTCAGCTCTCAAGCTTGGCTTCCTTCCCCATTTCTTGTGCAGTGTTAATCATACTTTAGTGTAAAGTCCAAAAAGGCAAGCTACGGTTAGCACTCATCTTCAAGTTAGAATCAGAAACCTTCTTCAGGACATGGATTTTGATATTGCTTTCTAGGAAACCCTGATTCACTGCTGGCATTTCCAACATCACAGGAAACAGAAAGAGAAGCTGTGTTAGGAGGGAAAGGTATTAAGTCTCTGGCTCGCTCACCATCTTGGCTTATAGTTAGTGTGGGCAACCAATCAGACATCTGGTGATCACTCTATGCTTAACTTTAGACCTTGGATGGCCATATCCACTTTCCACAGTCCTACCCTCAAAGTACTTTTCTAAAAGTTTTAAAATTTTTAAGATAAAGCAAGTTATAGTCACATTGACATGAAATGATGGAGTGGTCAGTTGAGCTACGTACTTCTGCTTCTTAATGATTATGTGATTTGACATCTACATGAAACTGCTGGTAGAGATTATCTGGAGTGTTGGAGTTCGGTGTCACCAATGACACCCAAATCTACATATCCTTGCCACCTAAATCCGAGGAAGCTGTTGTGCTCCTGGTCAGTCAAACGTCAGATCAAGGTATAGAGAGGGGATGCAGCATACTGTACTGGATGGGGTTGCACTGTACCTGAAAAAACAGGTGCACAGCTTGTGGGGGTGCTCCTGGATTCATCCCTGAGCCTGGAAGCCCAGCTCTTGGCAGTGGCCAGGAATGTATTTGTACAGTTAAAACTAGTGCACCATCAATGTCCATTTCTTGAGAGATCTGATCTGGCCACTGTGACACACATGCTCATTACTTCCCAGACTGCTGTAACACATTCTTTGTAGGGCTGCCAATGGAAAGTATCAGGAAACTTCAGCGGGTCCAAAATGCAGCAGCCAGATTGATAACAGGGATCACATAAACCTCCTCTTACAGCAGTTTCACTGGCTGTCTATCAGTTTCCGGGCACAATTCAAAGTGCTGATTTTAACCTATGAAGCCCTAAATGGCCTGGGTCTGAGCTATCTCAAAGACTGTATCTCCCATTATGAGCTGACTCAAGTGTTAAGATCATCAGGAGGGGCCTTTCTCTCAGTCCTTCACAGGTGCATCTGATGGGGACACAGGAAAGGGCCTTCTCTGTTGCTGCTCCCAGACTGGAATTTCCTGCCACAGGAGTCCAGATTGGCCCCATCTTTGATCTCTTTCCACAAGCAGGCAAAGACCTTTCTCTTTAGGCAAGCCATTCCTTAGTAACTAAACTACATGCATGCAATTTTAAGATAAATTGTTATGTATCATTGCTTTGACTGGGTTTTTAGTACTACTTATGTTTTCCATTTTTGTATTTCCAATTTTTAAAAGTGGCATCTGTTTTCCAATGCTTTTTCATATTTGTATACTTATTGTTTTTAGATTTAATATTGACTTTTAATAATGTAAGCTGCTTCTTTATAGGTGCTGATAAGTACTGAGCCTTTCCCAGAAAAAATGAACTAGGAAGCTATACATTGCAGGGCGTATTGGCCAATTTGTCTGTATTCAATGGTGAAAAAATCAACTACCTATGATTTTAACTTATCTTTCATGTTCAGGTCCAAAGTGAACATGGCAGCACCTCCAGAAAAGTTCAATGTGGAAGAGCATAGGACCATAATAAATTTCCTGTTAGTGGCCCTTCATACGCAACAGTTAAACACTGGGTTGTCAATTTTAAAACTGGCCATTTCGGTGTTGAAAGTTAGAAACCCAGTGGAAGGCCTGTTTCTGTCTCTGTGCCTGCAAAGGTGAAAGCCATGACATGATAATGGAGGAATGCCTAATATCAGCCAAAAGTATTGCTATATATCTGACAATATCACGTGAGAGAGTTGGTGCCATTATCCACAACAACTTGGAAATGAGAAAGCTGGCAGCAAAGCGGATCCCCAAACTTTTGACAACCGAACCAAAGAGGAAACATGTGGAGTCAGCGGTGGCTGTTTTGGAACATTCTGCAAGAAATGAGTCAGATTTCCTGGGCAAACTGGTAACTGGTGATGAGACATGGATCTACTGTTATGATCCTGAGACAAAGGAACAGTCTAAGGAATGGAGGCACAGTGGTTCCCTCAGGCCAAAGAAGTTCCGAGTGCAAAGGTCGGTGCAGAAGGAAATGGCAACAGTTTTCCGGATAAGAAGGGAGTTCTGCTGGTGGACTACCTCCAACAGGGTTCAGCCATCAATACAAAATATTACTGTGCTTTATTGGCAAAGTTGAGGCAAAACATCAAGGAAAAACCTCGAGGAAAGCTCTCCAAAGGTGTCATCCTGTTGCATGACAATGCCTCGTCACACACTGTAGGAGAAACAATGGCAAAACCGACGTCCTTAGGTTTTCAAGTGATGCCCCATCTACCCTATTCACTTAACCTGGCTCCTTCTGACTATTATCTGTTCCCCAAACTAAAAAAACACCTAAAGGGACAACAATTTGTGAGTGTTCTGGAAACAACTAATACTGCAAATGAGTGGTTACACCAGCAGTCAGAAGAATTTTATTTGCAGGGACTTAAGAAGCTAGGGGAAGTGGTGGCGCTGCGGGCTAAACCGCAGAAGCCTGTGCTGCAGGGTCAGAAGACCAAGCAGTCGTAAGATCGAATCCACGCGACGGAGTGAGCTCCCGTCGCTTGTCCCAGCTCCCGCCAACCTAGCGGTTCGAAAGCATGCAAATGCAAGTAGATAAATAGGGACCACCTCGGTGGGAAGGTAACAGCGTTCCGTGTCTAAGTCGCACTGGCCATGTGACCACGGAAGATTGTCTTCGGACAAAAACAAAAATTGTCAAGGGGAACCTTTACCTTTACCTAAGAAGCTGCAGGACAGATGTCACAAGTGCATTGACTTCCTGGGGGAATATGTAGAATAGTGTGGCAGTTACAGCTTCCTAGCTCAATTCTTTCTGGGAAAGGCTCAATACTTATCAGCATCCCTTCGTACTCATTGTTTTCAGCTTTAAATATTGTCTTTCAATGCTGTAAGCCACCTTGGGTCCTTTTAAAGGAGAAAGGCAGGATAAATATATTTTAAACAAACAAACAAACATTTATTTGTCCTTCAGCTAAAAAGAAAAAATGGAAAATGGAAAAAAAAGCAAAGCATGCTGTTTACAGACTGCCTCATAGCACTTAAAGCACCCTCTGGACACTTTCCATGTATGCAGGGCACACATTTATAAATGCATTTACTACATTTATAAACCATCATAACCATCATAACAGCTTCCAAGATGAATGAGAACTAAAACAGCATTCATGCCCTCTTGTGAACACTTTTTCAAAATTGGGAGTGTGGGGTCCAGGCAAATACAGGAAAAATTGTCCTCTGCAACACCTATAAGCCACAGTTGGCGCATGCAGCAGCTGCAGGCAATATTTGTGTACTTGGAGAGATCACATATTGTCCACAGGTTGTATTTAGCTCTAGCTTAGAAGATTATCTGAACTAAGCCATGCAGCATAAACAAATGAAAAGGATGTTTTATTTATTTATTTATTTTTGAAGTAAGATGATGAATTGAATCATTCATTACATATGAACTCCACACTGACAAGTTATGGTTAGTTTGAGTTCTATAGTAAAAGGTTGCCATAACATTTTCCTCAGAACAAACCAACATTTTAATAACAAATCAATCAATTTAATTGATTTTTGCTCCCTCTTTCTTTCTCTACAATCCTGTAAGAAGCTGATCAGTCCAAACTTCACATACGCTCTTCCAAAGTAGTTGCAGTGGTGCCCCGCATAGCGACATTAATCCGTTCCGGATTAATCGTCGCTATGAGGAAACATCGCTAAATGGATCGAAAAAATCCATAGGAACGCATTAAACTTGGTTTAATGTGTTCCTATGGGGCCCAAACTCATCGTTGAGGAAAGTCCCTCCATAGCGCCGCCACTTTCGCGCCCTCGGTAAGCAAGGGCAGGGTGCGAAAACACTTGCGGTGGCCATTTTGGGCGTCCGGCGCCCATTTTGGAACCACCGATCAGCTGTTCTAGGAACATCGCAATGCGAAGATTGGTAAGCGAAACGCTTACCGATCATCGCAATGCGATTTTTGCCCTATCTAACCATCGCAATGCGATTGCATTAGCGATCTAAAAAAAACCTGACCGCTATGCGAATTCGTCGTTAAACGATGCGCTCGTTATGAGAGGCACCACTGTAATTGCAACTACAAATTTTTTAAAATGTACCTTTTCTGTTGCTACAATTAAAATATTTAAGAGCAGATAGGTATACAAAATTGTGAAAGACAGTAAAAGGAGCATAATGGGAAGTAAGATTATATTAAAGCTAGATTATGTTAAATGGAATGAGTCTAGTTTGAATAATAAAACTTCTTATCCTGCTGGCCACAGGTCCGAGAATGTATTATCAAAAGATAAAAACTTATTTCCTAATTTTTATGATCAAAATTTAGCACTCACAGTACTTTTTCAATTACAGAAGACCTAGAAACTCAGTCTAAAATTGCCTCCTCAAGCCAGAATTTGCAATATGCTTGAAAAGGAATTAAGGTTGTAGCTTCACATCTCTTCCAAAGTAGTTAATTACAACTACAATTACATTTTTAAAAGTACCTCTACTGTCCCATTTCAAAGAAGTAGAATTAGTTAAGGTGCGACTACATGCAATATACTCCTCTGATTACTCTGGATTTTGCACAATGCAAATATATTCAGAATTTCCCGACTACATCACAATATTGTAAGGGGAAAGTCACACTTTTCATTGATTATGACAAATGGAAGAGCGAGTGATACCTTTTATTGGACCACTACAATTAAACAAAATTGTAAGCTTTTCATGTAACGAAATAAATTACAATCGTGGGGACCACATGGTCTTTTCTTTGTTCTTCCTTATCTTTTCTTTGAGGAATCATTTCTTTTTGAACACCTATCGGGAGGTTGTTTATTTGAAATCACTCTACATCACACTGTTTTGTGACCCATGTTTTCTCGCGTGAATGGATGTGTGCATGGACATTCTCTGTGCTGACATCTTGGCGATGTGTTTCAGGTAGAGCAGGATGCTGTCCCATCAAAAATTGGCAATTATACTTACTGCCTAAACTGTTTCCCTATTTAATTTTTTTTAAATAAAACATTCGACTTTATCGCTGCATTACATAGGCTCTGGAGTCTTTCTGTCTGCATCACGAATACAACACTATGCCACTTAGAATAAAAAAGAAAAAAAATTAATTCCAGACAAGGCCATTATGGAGAAAGACAGGATGCAGAAGGAGTCAAGACAGATCCATGGGCAGATCAAAGTGCCCGCCCTGGGTCTATTTAGGGGCATTTAAACAGCAGTGTACTCCCTTGCACCGAATAAACTCAGTTGTATTGAGACTGCCCCATGAGGTCAATGAAACAAATAGCACATGATATGACTCAGTACAATAATACCCCGATACAACTCTCAGATTATTTGGACAATGCATCTGCACCCTCACTTAAAAAAAAAAAAATCAAAATGCTACAAAGCCAATGATTTGTGGTACAAAAACTCTTTCCATCCATCTAATTTTTACAAAGCATAATGTAGCAGCACCAACTCGCAGTGAACCATCTGACAGTCTTTTTTCAACATTTAGTGAATCTCTAGAACTATAAAAGTCAATCAGTTACAGTGCAAAAGGAGGGAGAGTACAATGTGAAGAGTAATTTAGTAATGACTTAATTATTTTAAAAAATAAATGAACTACCAGTAAAAACGCTCTGCCTCGGATATTATAGAGGAGAGGGGAAATTATATCCAAAGCTATGTCTCCTCTCTAAGGGTGTCTTTCAACCTTCTTTCCTTTATGCAAACTGTCAAATAATGTCCTTAACTTCAAAGTGTCAGCTGTTTACTGATGAATGTTCCTCTATTTGAAAAGCCTAGCTCCTCCTTTGACAGTGGACAAAACCGGGATGGTATGCCAGCTGCGGCTTTTAAATGGTTACTTACGAGATAACAGACTTATCCCATAAAAGTTCATGAATTAAACTGTATAAACAACTTATGCCAAGTCTGCCAAGTCATGAATTCAAAGACCTCATTTATGAAATATTGCCTTATACTGGCAACTTACAACACCTGCAGCACTAGAAGTAGTCTGTACCAAATAACAGCTGGATAGCTCAGTGTTTCTAAGTCGCACCAACCTAGGCTTTAAGTTGTACTTTTCCAAACAGAGGTACTTCAGTAAACTTTTTGGGGGGGGAGGAGGGGATACATTTTCTAATTATACAGAGAAACATCTCCAGATCAAGCAATTCAAACATAATTTAAGAAAGCTTAAATTCCATCATTTTCTTTGTCTCTTAAACTGTCACAATAGCTCTTCCCAAATTCCTGGACAATAATACTACAACTAGTGAAATATATATAAGCAATATTCATTTGGACTCTCGCTCTTTAGAAATTTGAATGTCAAGAAACCTGGAGGAGTTTAGTTTCTTTCTGAACAACTTTTTTTATTTTGTTTATTCTGATATTATTTTGACCCTCCTTTTTGCTGTTTCACCAGATTTGTTTTGTTTTTATTTATTTTTTAGCTTTGCTCTTTAACATTTGCTTTGGTTGTAGTCCAACTTGGAAGCTATTATGACAATTTATAGATGTAGTAAATACATTTCTTTTTTATGGCTGCTGTTTAGCTGAGGGGATGGAAAGCTCATTAGGAGTTAGTTCAGCTGGCCACTCCATCACTCCATGTCAATTCGGCTACAACCTGCTCTAGCTTATTTTATGTTACTTCTTGGGAAGCTACAATACCAGGCTGCTTTCCTAGTCTTCGAGCTAAAGTTCCAGCTCAAATTTCAAATTAGTTATAGAATTTTTGTTGCAAAGTCCTAATTAGAAAAAGGGAATTTGGTGAAAGAAGGAGGTTGTATGATGAAAGGGAAAGAATGCCAGAAAAGGCCCCTTGCCTCCCACTGTTTGAACTAGCTTGTTTCAAACCAACTATAGGTAACAGTAAAGTTTGGTTGTTGTAGGTTTTTCGGGCTGTTTGGCCATGTTCTGAAGATTGTTCTTCCTAACGTTTCGCCAGTCTTTGTAGCTGGCATCTTCAGAGGACAGGAGTCAGAACTCTGTGCTCTGGTGAAGTTTTGTGGAATAGTTGAGTACTTATAGCTGTGGGATCAGCTTTTGTCCTTTTCAGGAAATTGGGTGATTATGGTGATCAGTATGTTTTTTTGATGTGGGTGTATTGTTATGATAAGGGGGAGAGATGATCTGTCACTGTGATTGATGGATGTCGTTAGCTGGTCTTTTTTGTGCAGTGATCACTGGTCCTTGTAGCTGGGTAGAGTTCGTTGACCTTTTGCAGGCTGTATTTTCAGTGCTGGGAGCCAGGCTTTGTTGACAAAACATTAGGAAGAACAACCTTCAGAACATGGCCAAACAGCCCAAAAAACCTACAACAACCATTGGATCCTGGCCATGAAAGCCTTTGAGAATACAACAGTAAAGTTTAATAACTTCAGATAAGAGAACAGAAATATAAGAAACTGCTTTATATGGAGTCAAATCAGTGCTTCAAAAGTACAATAATCCTATATTGTCAAATCTGACTGGCAATAGCTCTCTAGAATTTCCAGGCAGGATTTGTTCAAGGTACCTAGTATTTCATGGTAGTCTCCCAAACAAGTACTAACCAAGGACCCATACTCAAGTTTCCAAAATGAGGCATGATTGCTTGTATTCCGGGTGGTACGCAGACTAAGTGAAAACAAAAGTGAAGGTTTTGAAATTATTTCCCTGTGAGCGCAATGATGAAGTACAGAGAAGGGGGTGTGTACAAAGCCAGGGTTCACCATGACCTGCTTTTGTTACACTGAACTATTGGTTAGAGCAGGAGTGGGTAACATGGGCCTGTCAAAACGGTGTTGGGACTACAGCTCCCATCATTCCTCATCACTGGCTAAGGATGAAGATAGCAACACTTGAAGGGCCATAATTTTCCAACCTTTTTTTGCAGTGTCACAATGCAGCAGTATCTGTTTTATCTATTGTTAAAAAAGCTTTTAAATCACTCTATGACTCAAAATATTACCACCAAAACTTACCAAATTTCTGGTACCATCAGGAGCTGCTAAGTGGCATTGGATGTAAGAATTAAAAACCTGAACAGCATGTTGGGTAAAGAAGCCTTTATGGAAGTATTTATCATCTTGAACCAAAGTCAGCCAGGATTCCAAGAGTTTGTCATATGCCTCCATGTATACCATGTCATCCTTGTCAAGCTAAGGAAACGGAAAAAGACGTGTTATCAAAATTTTGGCTATATATTTCATCAAATCATCGTGTAAGGAAGTGAAGGTTAGGGCTGGACTCTTGTTCAGCACTAGTGGAGTATAAAGCCCTGCTAGTGCGTCACTCCAAAGTCTCCAACTTGTTGCAAGCACTGCCATTACAAGACTTAATCTTGTGGAAGTACTGCACACTTCCTTCTACAAGCACCATGCAAGTTAAGTTTCTCATCCTTCAGTGTCCATGAGCAGTTTAACAGGATACTGCCTAAGGTATTTCTATTAACACAAAAACTTTTTGCAATCAAATAATTTACATGCACACACAACCATTCTTATCCATTCCAATGCATCCATAGTTGGAATTTCATAATACTGGTAATTCTGTCATTATGCTCAGTAGCAAGGGACAGGGTAGAACCTCTCACCAGTACTTTAGCTTATACACACTGAACGCTCCACACATAATGGTATCTGAGTGCATTATGCCCAGAGTCTGGAGTCAAGGTGAGTAAAGAAGACATGATTCTGTTACTCAACACCATATTATTTATGCTTCATTTTGGAGATGCGGAAACAAAGCTTCTGGTTATCCTTTGAGAAATATATAGTACTTTAGTAACTGAATTTAATGAGACACTATGGTTTACATTTTGCTAATCATTATTAACAAAATGTCCTTAGACTATGGCCAATATCATCTTGAGTAGTTACTCTGGCAGAAAGGAAAATGTTGCAACTCAAAACAGCAAATTACTGCCAATTAGCAAGTCCCCATATGCACACCAATCAGGCAGTGTGGCACACAATCATTTCCCTTCCACTTGCATAACTACACAAGATTATGACCTATACTTTAGAATTTCTGAAGTCTCAAGAGAAAAATTCTTTTCAAACTGAAGCAAAATGTACCAAGAAAACCTTCTCAGTAAATTAAGTAACTCCTCCCTTAAATCAAGTCAGAAATGCCTAGCTTCACATCTCAACCTTTGAATTTTATGCATATTAACTGTTCATTGCTTGCCAACCAAATATCCACTTTTCTCTGCTGAGCAGTTATGTAATGGCTCTTTTATCCAAACATTTTCCTACATAGCCTTTTCTTCATCTTTCTCATAATTATATATGCAAAGGAACTGTATCTACTACATATCCTTGCCCAAACTACCTAGTGATGTTCCAGAGGCAGAACTAACTTATCCCAGACATGTTTGGTATTAGACATTGAACCATTTAAGACTGCAATCCTATACACACTTTCCTGTGAGTAACACCCACTGATCCTAATGAAACGAATTCTTAATTGACAGTTATTGGATTGCAGTCTTAGTTTTCAAGTATTAGGGATTGCAACAGTGGCTTGGCTTGGTTTAGCAGGCAGAAATTCTTTGTAGCCACTACCAAGTCTTGCCCTCACTGTGTCCTCTGCATAGATCTGTGGGAACCTCTTGTGTCACAGAAGCAATGGGAAGTTTTAGAACCAAAATAATTACGATAAATATAGAGGTTTGCCCTAACATAGTTCTCTTATCAGTATTTGATAAGAAGCAATGGAGTTGGTAAGTGAAAGAATTAATTTCAAATTTATTAAGAGCAGCAATCTTAATGATAGCAGAGATTTCTTAAATAGGAATGTATAATCATATTGGAATTATGCTGTCACCACAATGGAACTATTTTATGATGAAGAGAAGAGTCCGCATTTTAAAATAAAGAGATATCAAGAAAGCAGAGTGCTTGCAAATCTCATGAGCAGTATTTATCTATTCTAGAGCTTTGCAGGACATATTTACTTCTCAATTCTCCTCCAAATTGGTGGACCAGCATAGATTTTTCTGTTATGTTGGGTACAACTGGCCAATTAACTTTCTCATCTCAAAGTTAAATACAAGCTGGGGGGGGCAGAAATTCCTCTGGAAATTGCAAAGAACAGAGAGAAAGGATTGTTTTGCTAGGCATTTGCCCTAACAAGAAAACCAGGGACATTTGCCCCAGAAAGCAGCTTTGCAGAAATCTATCAAAGACCCTAAGAGGGGAACTTGGTAGAAGTATTTCTCTGTTCCATACAGAAACTCAACATTCAGTTTAGCCGGAATGTTCTTATAATGGGGAAAAATCAACATTATTAAATTAACAATGCATGTATGGGGAGAAGGTGTAGTATTTGTCAACCAGGACAAATCTTAATTGATCTAGAAATTCTGCAAGTTGTGACCATTTAAAATATCTATAAAGAATGTGGAAAGCTCAGCTTTTTGTCTCTACTACCTAACAGTTTAATAAGTCCAAAAAGTGTCTTCTTGAAAAACTGGCCAGCCTGTAAAGGGGTAAGCACAGGGATGCCTAATAAATCCTCCCTACTCATTCTCTCACTTTAGCTAACTGCTGTTAACAAAGATCCAAACAAAGTTAGCTTGTTCAATAACCTCATTTTGTGTCTCTTAATCATTTAATTAGAACATACATTTAAAGATTCTGTGAACATGAGGCATGCTGTACAAGTACAAATCTATAACGTATTAAGAACCGCCAGTGCAGAATCCTTGGCAGGGAATTCAATTCATGTCTGAAGTGAGACATAGCCACCCGTGCCAAAACAAATCCAAAACCAGTAAAGGTAAATGTCACCAATGATGCAGAATCATATAATGCACTGTGTTAGTTACAATCTGGATTATGCTGACATGAGTTATCATAGTCATTGGAAAGGTCCATTATTGAGTGTGATTAGATACAAATGTTAGGGGAAGTATTACACAAAGGATTCATTTGGCAAGAGCTAATGTGGAGTAGGGATTCATGGATCCTCCATCCCTTCCTTCAAGCTACCAATCCTGAAACATAATGTTAAGATAATAAGCAATAAGTAGGATGCATAAGCTTTGAGAAAAGGATTTCATTTGATACAACCTAAAGGCCATGATGGGTAAGAGGATATTTTTCTGAATGATTGTTTTGTGACCAAGAACAGGTTCCTCCAAAAAAATTTAGACCCTTAAGTGAATCTGAACAGAGTTGGTTTAATCTTTTCATTCTTTCAGATAACCCATAAAAATATATATCCTCCTCTAACAACTGCCCTTCCCAGATTTGCTGAAGTAAGACGAAGGTCTGTTCAGCCATTCTCTTGTGTCCATATCATTTCTCCCACATAAGCACTGATTTTACTGGGCAAGATGTGTATATAATTTAGAAGAACTACATCTAATATTTGTCTTGGCAAATTCTATAGCCACTGAGGACAACTGTGCAAGTCTCTTCTGAATAAAATTATGATAGCTATTCAGATTGTGTGCATATTACTCGATTAAACTATTAGCAGCAAGAGTGGTAAATCTATTTTAAACTATGCCAAGTGTAAAGATACACAATGAAAATAGTGGAGAAAACTGAGGGATAAAATGCACAGGATACTGGAAACAAGAAAGAACAAACACTGAATTATAAAATATGGTTAAATAAAAAGAAACCTAGGGTGTATGAAGAGACATCCCTTCCCAACAACCAGAATCCAGAACACATGTTTTTGTGAGCCTGAAACCCTGGGTTAAAAGGACTATTTGTATTAGTCATCAGCTTCCATGCCACAAGCAAACCATACAAAGATAGACAAAGATACTTGATATGTACAGGCTTGGAGGAGGACACCTTCAGTGCATTTACCTAAATTTTTATTAACTGTTCCTTTTGGCTAATTATATTCCTTTACAGGAAGTATAGTACTGAAGGGAACAAAACTGTTTGTGTGACAGCCCTAATCAGCTCAGGCTTACTGTGCTTACAAATGTTCACACAATTCTTTCTTCAAAACAAATTAAAATTGCTTTCTTAAAAGGAAATTAGCAAGAACAAAAAGAGGAGCTATAGCAGAAAAAATTGCCCCCTAAGCATCATTTGTTCACCCATAATTCTATCACTGTCTGTTAAGGGATTCTTTAGGGGAAAAAATTCTGTTACACTCTCAAGTAAAGTTCAAAGGATACTGCAATTGAGATACTGTATTCTCAAAAACACAGTTTAAATGTATGAATCACTACAGTTGCATCATGTTTTCAACTGGAAATGATCCTTATCCAGTACCATCTTGGGTTTTATTAGTTATCTTCAAATAAAGCCAATTTCTACACACACAAACATGCACACACACACACACAAAATATGCATATACAACTCATTTAAACGGTAACACATCTACTCAAACCTTTGGGAGAGAAACACACACAAACATGCACACACACACACAAAATATGCATATACAACTCATTTAAATGGTAACATATCTACTCAAGCCTTTGGGAGAGAAACAGTTGTATACCATATTAAACAAAAAATGTTCAACATAAAATCTTATTCAGTTAAAATCAGTTCCTTGAACCAAGATAGGCATTTGAAATTAGGAATCAGTACTTACCACTTCTTCCAAGGCAGCACTCCTCCCAAAAGAACAAGTGAGGTGTGTGAGACAGTTAACGAACGAAGAAAAAAGTTCATTCGGAATGGCTGTTAATATATTGCGAGGAAATACAGTGATCAAGTTGCTGATTATACTGGATATTCCCACCGCTTCAGAGTCCTCTATCTCAATCCTGCAAATCAAACAGTTTATAAACAAAAGGTCAATAATTCCAGTGGCATATTTAATGACAACCATTTGTAATATGCTTTAGAAAGAGTACTTTAAGCAGGTCTTTGCCACTATTGAAGCTACAAACAACAGGATGTTAAGTCCCTCCCTCCTTCCCACAACAAACCTAAATTCTAGGAAGCAAACAGATAACATACCCATTGATAGTGTTGAGCAGTCCCTCAATGAAGTGAGCCAAGTAGTCGACTTGCGAGCTTTCATCTGGAAATACCGGCCCATGTAGAGAAGCTAGCTGTGCTAAACACTGCAACGAGTCTTGTGCCATATCTGTGTCTTCTCTAATTTTTCGATGCACCTTTTCAGGCGTGACAGGATTAACACCACATCAGGGGGTGAAGAAGAAGAAATAATACGTTCTTTTAGCATTATCACATAGCTTACAATCCTAAAGAGCACACACAGAGTTTATTTCATTTTCTATTAAACTTGAAATCAACAAACTTCTTCTTATGTATCTCAGCCTTCCAAATGGCCCTCTCAATATACCAACTTCATAGACCATATTTAATTAGTCAAAGCCAAGGCTTCACTGCAACCTACCTACATGTTGAAACGTCTACGCATGTTGAGTCTTAAAGAGAAACAGATGCCAGCCAGTCAGACATGCTGCTACTTCTAAAAACAGCAATAATGACAGCCATCCGTATTATGCTAGCTATGCCTGGGCTACAGCGTCTTGCTAAAGTTAGTCGACAAGTTCAGTCAAGAGTATATAGATGCTTCTTTAGAAGAGGTAAACACTGCACTCTCAAGAAACCAAACACATTTCACTTGTTGTGAAATCCTTCTATTCCTTTACAAACCTCCCTTAATCCTTCTAGCAGAAATGCTCTATTCTTTGGCAGTAGCTTCCTCAAGGGGTGTTCACCCACAATAAATTATCTCAACAAAGCAAACATTCATGTGTTGACTGATTGTTTATGATGAAATAAGGACATATTTTAAAGTAAATTCTCTGAGGAAAAGGAAAGCATCAAGAATTCAACTTCCAAGACACACCAATCATAGTACAGTAATTCCTACAATGAAGCCACTTAGAAGACTGCTATACTTTGGCTATTATTAAATTTTGCATTTTCATTATTCAGGTATGTAACAACATCCAATTACATCTATAAAAATGCATGATTGTGTTTATTATAATATTTATACAGCTAGCCCATAATGCAAGTTCTCCATGCATCTAGCAAAATAAGTCCAGCAACATAATACAAAATAAAGGGGGGGGGAGACTTAAAACTAAAACAGAATTTGAAACTGAGAAGTATTTCCTTTAAGGTATTTTTTTTCTAATACAATCTCAGAAAAATCAGATACTTTAACCTTCCCCACTACAAAATGGACTCATGAACTTAAAAATTAGTTTGACTTGTTGTAAGGGTACTATAAATTTAAAAATAAACCGACTAAGCTGACTTCTTTATATTCATTTATATTCTTTTTGACATATCAAAGCATACACTACTTCAATTGATTCACAAATGCTTTATATAAACCAGCAATAAAGTGTTTCTTCTTCTTCCAGACATTCAGTTAATTACTGACAGGCACATTTCATCAATCTGAGTTTTGATCTAACAAGAATTTAAAAATGTTTGGAAGGAAAAGTGCCAGCTTTTGCTAAGCAGCTCTTTAATAAAGAAATGTAAGTTTTTTTTTAATTGGAGACTTCTTATCAGAGAATTATATTAGGAAGGGTTAAGCGCAGACTAAAAAACTATTTGCTTGAGGAGGTTTCCCAGCTGACAGTAGCAACTGCCTGGGTTGTCTAGACAGCTGTTGGCATTGTGTGCAGCTGTTAAGTGGTCTGCCAGTACGTTTTCCACCTTTTTGAAAACGTTTGAGTGAGATTAAAAAAAAACCTTGCAAGTAACTATGTACACACAACAGCTAAAGTTGTTGAGAGAATTATTTCATGATACAGAAGGTTTACTATATGCCATTCATCATCTTAGACCAAGTTTTAAATAAACATCTTGGCTTTGAAAGCAATACCCTCAAATTCCAGCAATAGAGAAATCTATTTTGGGAGATAGACCCAAACTGGCTTCTTCATATGTTTTACAGGTCAGTAATCTAATACTAAATACATGCTCCTTGTTCCATTAACTTGCACAGATTTGGGCCTTTTAATTGTCTAAAACTTCCTGGTTTTGTTCATTTTTTTTGGTCTATGCTATTATCTATGAATTCTTTTATCATTTTAGTTTGTACGTTGTGCTTAATTACGTAAACTGCCCCGAATAGTAAGTAGTTCACTAAGACCGGCGGTCTAGAAGGTCAATCAATCAATTAAACAAACAAGCAGGCAGCGATATTTATCTGAGAAAACAAGCTCTATTGGACACAGCACTAGGCTACAAAGGATTGTTCACATGTGCTGCCTGCCCAATTTTGCCCAGGAAATAAGCTCTCTGTTAAAAAAATCCATAATCCATACTTTTCATGTGTGACAAACACATGAAGTAAACCGTGCTGTCCCATTTGACAATGTACATACAAGTTTCTTAAACAAAAGCATTATTGATATAGAAAGATTCCAAGGTGCACGCTGCAAGTGTGGTCCCCTACTAGAGAGAAGCCTGCAAATCAGTCATCTTTTACAATCACTTGAGAATTATCTGAGCATGAACATCAGAGTCGTTTACCAAACTTGTAGATTTTGCCCAATACCATCTGTTTGATCTAAATTACACCCCCAGATTAAATTCTGTAATCTACTTAAATGCATGGTAAACATGAAGACTATTTCTCATTTCTGTTGTCCATGCAAACTCTTAAAATAACTATTTAAAACTAGTGTACAGAAACACTTCTATCTACAGCTACATTTTTCTTCAACAAGCATTACATAAGCAGACCAATCTCTAATGAAAAGCAGTTGAACCTGTTGAACTATTGACTGGCAAAGCATTTATACAACTCTTACCTGGCTTCTTCCCACAACTTGCGGGGGGTGGGTAGAAATCCAACAACAACTTTAGAAAAAGGCAGGAGCAGTAACTTTTTGTTAATGAATTAATGTGTTAGAAGAGTGGGACTTACAGTGAAGAAAAGTTCCATTACTCTGCTGTCCAGGAGTGTTTCACGCCAGGACTCTGTTGGCTTTAGCATCACATTTTGTGAGGATTCAAACATAGCTATATAATGTCTGCCTAGTTATCTGGTGTCAAGGTCAACAACAACATTCCAATTTGACTTTTATTAAAAAAAAGATCGCAGATACAACAGGTCCCATTCAGGAAGAATGCAATGGAAACAAACTTTAAGCCTCTTCACATACACAGCATAATTCATGCATGAGGACAAGGAATAAAAGGTATTAAGTACTGAAAAAAAGAATGCCCTAGGAATGCCAGATAACAGTTTGATCACAATGACGAGACATTCCAGGGTGGCACAATCACTTTAATAATCATCCCAGTAAGACAGGAAGAGAAAGGAAAGCAAAACTACAATCAACAGTGGACTCAACAGGTACACTCAAATTGTGTAAAAAAATGTTTTGCAGCATTTTAAAATGTTCCCATCTTATCAGATAGCTACATGGAAATTCAATACTAGTGGTTTGGAATCTATCTACAACAGCATAGCACATTTCACAGAACTAAACACATGTTATAGCATTGCTACAGATACATACTACCTCCAGGGCAGAATTAATATATTTCAAGTCTGAGTTGTAATGTTGCCGCCCTTCATGCTCCACAGAGAACATCTCCTGAAGAATTATGTTGTCCAGAAAACACTGCAGCAGCTTCCTTTTTAATATATTAACAACAGGAAGTAGGCTCTAGACAGAAACTGCAAGAAACTCCAAGATAGGCCCTGCTCAAGTTGAGTGAAATATAGGTGTCTGTAGATGTGGGCTAGAACTCCAAAAATTCTTTCTGTGAAAATTTTGGAGAATTTTGGGAGCTGGAAGCCTAAAAAATCTGAACTGCACATCTTTAGTGACAATCCTGTTAAACAGGAAAGACAGAACAAAACTCCATTGCAAAAAGTTATCTATAACAATAAATACCATTCTGTCTTTTTAGCCACATTGTCAAGACCTTAAAAGCGTAATACCTGAAACATGATATGCATACAGAGAGGACTCTTAGGTTGTGCACTTGGAGGTTATTATATTTTTAACATGCATTTATTAATTTAAATTAACTTAAACCATGCCTGTGTCTTCAAAACTATTGTATTATCATGAGCTTAACCAGCAGACCTCCCTAATCAACAAATGTTGTTACAGCTGATACAGTTTCAGGCTAGCAGTGAATACTAGGTGGGACAGACTCATAGTCTGCCTTGTCGTCCTCTGCGGTGGACAGCTGCCTCAATGTGAAATGGGTAGATGCACCCTCAGGGACTGTAAGGGTACACCATAGTGAGCGAGGAGTCTCAATGGCCCTGGGTTCACTCTCATGGGGCAGGGACAAGATGAACAAATATAACAGCTGAATAGCCATCAAGGTACTTTTGATAATTATTAGATATTAATTTTAAAATATAAGCATATATGCGTTTGTGCCGCAAAACTATGCATTTAACAAACGTGAACACATTGATGTAAATTATTTTTAAAGAGTATAATTTTTCACATATAGCAATAATTCAGAATACTGGTTGTGATTTCATCTATTGTACCTGTCACCCACAACAATATATTTCATGTCAGCGGATAGGCCGGTATGTGCACAGAGACAGCTTGGCTTGGCTCCCAGAAGGGAACCAGATCATTATCTCTTGAAGATGGCGGCAGTGGAGGAGGAAGAGGAGGAGAAGGAGGAGGCAGGACGAAGTAGGAAGGCAAAGAGGTCAATGGAACGGGGTGGGCAGGTGGCAGAGGGGGTGGAGGCATTAGGTTCCTCTCCCGCTCAAAGCACGAACCCAAGAAAACCAAACCACAAACTGGTTTGTTTTCCCAGGGATCAGGGGGTGGTTTGTGGAAAGCCAGGAACCACAAAGCACATCAATTTGTCGTTTTTCTGGTTCGTGCCCATCTCTGCCTGACAACCATAACAATTCTCTTCAGAACATTCCACGGGCTTGCCTCCTCCACTTTTCTACATTATATCCCATTATACTTCTATCCCATCTGTCTCTAACATTCAGTACTACACGACCTTTAGCATGTTAAGATTTCTGTCCTTTCTAAACAACTCTGTATTTTTCTTCTTTGTTGCCTCACATATCAGAAAATGCTTCCTAGACCATGTTCTTCATATTTAAAGTGCACATTTTCATGAACATTTTGACCCAACCCACTACTCCTGAGGCATGCACTTGAGCCTGGTTACTGACGGGTATCTGAAATAAACATTCTTTATCTTATGGGCCAAAACTACTCCTCCTGTAACCTTTTTGAACACTGTGCACAATGGTGCAATGTGTAAGCTGCAGTAAAGTATGCCCATTTAATCGAAAAAGTCCATTAGTAAGTTGCAACTAAAATAGGTCCATTTAATGGAAATTACAGTGTTGATTTATGTCCATTGATTCAAGCAGCCTATGCTAGTTTCTACTTATTGCTGTATTTCAGCCATTATAATATAATTTGTAATGCTTCTGTTAGGTTGTTAAGCATAAAATGTATGTCAATATAACCTTTATGTAGTAAGTAAAGATATATTTAGGTCTGAAAGCACTGAAGCTTCCATTTAATTTTTCACAGAAGCAAAACATGTTCTAAATTCACAGTATCTGAGGCAGTGTAATGAATGATTGGGATCGTGATGAAAAATACTGCACTGTCTTATAAATGTGTTTAAGATGAGAGCTGAAGTTGCAGCTGTTCCACTATGGCTGAAAATGTCAATTTGCTAGCACCTACTGCACTTCAAATGTAGTCAACCATTTGTAGAGTGACAAATGCTTGTTTACCCCTTTAAATAACCGTCTATTTCGTAGAACTGAAAAAAGAACATCAGGTGCTAAGTTATTAATGGAAACCAGTTCAAGCACATGAAGTTAGAATACCAATTCTTTCTTCAATTGTTCTTATTTCCACTGTAAATTGTAAGATGCTCTTTGATCATGTTATGCATGACATCTAGACTGATCTCATGGCAGACACAACACTGCTCATCTCTTAATCACAGTTCTGAATTTGGAAGTAGACAGCAGACTTACTCTAACTTCTTCTGTATGCATTTCTCTTTCTTTCTTGTTCATTTTCTCTGTGGCTCAACATTTCCTTCACATGGGAGCTAACCATGGTTGACTGCAACCAGATTCTTCCTTCAATATTATGATCAAACCCATTTTATAGGCTAAAAAGGAATCTTGTTACCGAAAAGGTCAGGAAATGAAGGGAGAGGGTTCATTATGATGAAGCAGAGGGAGAAAGTGCCTATGCATGAGCTCATGATCAGCTTTTAAGTGTCTCAACCAAGAGTCCTCCTGAGCTGTCTAGCCCCATTTTTCTTGTCATCCAAGTTTGCAGAAACCTCACCTGTAGTCTTGAGTAGCCCTACTGGCCTTCCAAGTTGACAAAACAGTAAACCACTTAACAATATAAGGGAAAAATGGAATATTTTCTCTAAAGCTGGACTAAGACATGCTTCCATTCAGGCAGGCATGACATTTTCCAGCACATCTAAACCAACCATTCTACCTCCCAGTAACACTGGTTGCTGTGTATTGCATCCTAGGCTGTTCTGAGAGCAGGAGTTACTCTCCTAGCATTCCCTTCACAACTACAGTAGAATGATTAAATCAATGTAATTTATGGAAGAGTTGATTCACCAAATCCCCACTAATTCATTGGGCCAACTCTAGTTGTGACTTGCTACTTGATTTCAACCACTGTGTCTGTTATGCATGGGACTAAACTTGAACTAGCAAATAAGCAGTAAACATACATTATATATTCTTTTAGACCTAGCAGTCTAGTTCTAGCATATAACGTCTTCCAATTCTGTTTTATAAAAATAATAAAAGTATATTTGTATAAGTGACCTATGAGTGTATATTAATGCATACATTAAAACAAAGTAGTTCTCTGGCCATGGAATCAGAATAAGAATTCTGGGGCTTCTTCTTTCCACGGGAATGTTGCCAAGATCAGGTGAAATTTCCACCTTGTAATGAATGATCCAGAAAGGATATAATTTGGAGGAAGAAAATTCCAACTTAAGACCTGATTGGCTAGTGCAAGATAACGTTGAAAAACTGAAGACATCTGAGCGTTAAGGTTTTCACGCCGGCTGAATTCCTGCAGCACCTCTACAGTAAGCATGAAGATCTGATGGAGATCATCCTCCTATGCAGGATAAGAGCAAACGTTTTAATAATTTAAATTATTAATATAAAATATTTTCCGCACGAATATATATAGACCATACAATCTGAAATCAACCTGTCAGAACACTTGCATTACTAGCTCAGCATAGTTTAAGCCAACTAGTAGGGACTCTCCCGGGATTGAGACAGGGGTTTTTCGCAGCCCCAACTGGAAATGATAAAGATGGACTCTGAGACCTTCAACACTGAAAGAATGTGCCCCCCCCAACAGATTTATGGTTCAAGAGCTGCTGTAGTGGTTAGAATGCTGCACTGGGTCCTAGGAGATGCAGTTTCAACTCCCCATTGAACTATGATATTGATTATGTAACCTTGGCCAAATTACTCTGTTCTGGCCTGAACTTTTTTTAAAAAGGAGAAGTATAGAGAACCATAAACAGTGCTTTGAGCTTATAGAAAAAAAGGCCAGATAATTATGTAAATTAGTAATAAATAATAATAATACTTTATTAGCAAATAGCTCTTTTCCAATAATACATATAGGGTGATATACAGAGTGGCAAAATGGGGAGGAAAAGTGTAACAGGTGCTTCTCCCCAATTATATCTTAAATTTCAATTTGCAGATGAGCCTTCTCCAACCTAGTGCCCTCCCAGTGTTTTGGAGTTTAACTTCCCGAAGTCCTTGCCCATAAGGCACATGCGCAGGAATGCTTAGAATTGTAGGAGAGCACCAGGCTAGGGAATGCTCCTACATAGGGTATCCTTACTTTCATGTATGTATTTCTTAGTGGAACCCATCATTGTTTATTCACATTTCTTCAACAGAAACAAGTACAAGTAACCCACTTACTTGAAATATTCGTTTGCAGTTACCGTGGAACTCCATGCTTAACCCAATGTTACTGGTTTTACTTGAACTTGAAAACTCACTTAATAATGCTGTTAAAATGGAACAGGCCAGTGTCTGCTGTAAAGATGAAAGAAGAACACATTTATTGCATAGTATGGCAAAAAACCCTCTATGTACAAGCTACTTCAAGAAAAGCTAATACACTATTTCCAAAATATTTGATTCTGATCACAGACAGAACTTTTGCTACCCCCAACTTCTTTATGTGTTTGTTCAAAACAAAGTAAAATTTGAAAAAAGTACAGCTCTGCTTTGCATTATAATGAATAGATAATATTTTTAATTTATGACTGAGTTGAATAGATGTTGGAAATACAATATGAAAAGTTTAGATCTTGTCGTCCAAGGAATTATAAAATTCAGACTTTATACTCGAATTCTGCTAGAACTCAAAGTCTAACTAACCCATTTTATGTATCCTAATATGTTTGCTAGTACAAACTACCTTAGCATTATGGTGTCTCACCAGTCTAAGCAGCTTACAGGTCCTCACCAATTTTTTTTACAAAAACTAATTTAGAATCCCCAAAATTTCACAGTTGGGTCTCATCTGCATACTGATCACAATACATTTTAAATCACCTTGAGGTAATATACAACAAAAATAGAATGATAGTTTCACAGCATCATCTTGGTAAACCAAGGAGCTGAAAGAATTCTGTTCGGAGGAGTAGCAATTGAGAAGTGACAGTGTCAACAGCCTTTCAGAATACTATAAAGCTCAAAGGGCACTGACAAGAGCTCTAGTATCTCTGTTTGGAGGAGTAGCAGTGCCAACAGAAGTGACAGTGCCAACAGCCTTTCAGAATACTATAAACCTCAAAGGGCACTGACAAGAGCTCTAGTATACTAGATGGAAACCACTGAAACTTATCTGGACCTCATTACATTTTGGGGCAGACCATTCTAATTGATTCTATATGCCTGCATGTACTCTGGCTTTTCCTTAATCATGATTACAATCTATCAGAATGGAGAATTAGTAACCTTTCCAGACAAACAAACATAGCTGGAAGATGGAGTAGGTGTAATGTTGACTGGGTCATCCCTAATCTATACCAGCATATTCTTCTTCATAGGGACATGGCTAGGATTGATAAGGCTTTATTATTTTCTAGTTGTTATGGTTTCAACTAGAAACTCATGCACTCATTTCCCACGCTAGCAAGGTTTTGCTCAAAATCCTACAAGGCAGACTTCAGCAGTATGTGGACCGAGAACTCCCAGAAGTACAAG